ATAGTAAAAGTTGGTAATGTTTGAGAAAAAAGTGATTTTGAAAAGTAAAAGTTGGTGGTATTTGGTAAAATAAGTGTTTTTTGTGTAGTAGAAAAAGTAAAAAACATATTCTAGCTTTTAGCTTTTAAGTGATTCATTTAAGTAGAAGTTGTTATTTGAAAACATCTTTTTTAGCTTTTTTAAGCCAAAAGTTGGGAAATGTTTTTTTAGTTGTGTTCGCAAACAGAGCCTTACTTACTGCCCTCACAATAACTCACAATAGGTAGTACCCCAATCTTTTTTTGTGTGTGGAAGAATTCGGCTTAGATCGATAACACATAATTCAGAGTATGGGTCAAATGACAAAAAGAAATTTGACAAACGTTATCCCGTGAACCAGACTCAAAATTAATCACCTCCAAAAAAACAATATAATTCGATGATCCGTAAATGGGAAACCTAAAGCCATAAACGGTCACCATATTCCTCTCATCCCCCACATCCAAAATCAACGTCTTACAAACAGGAACATAATAGAAAAAACGAACACCAAAACAGACATAACAATCACTGAAACAGCAAATAAAACAAAAGAAAAAACACTTCCGTTGTAGCCAGAAAACTCTAACAATCCCTCAGACATGCGACCTCCACTCTTCTGTCAGCGGCTTCGGCGGGCTTAAAGAGCAAAGCCCGCCTCCGCCCCGTTTTTTGTCCCATCCAAAGCCATAGTGTCCTCCTCTTGCTCCTTCTTTAATTGTCTGAGTCTCCCAGATCTTCCTTCTCTTAGAAACCTCTTTTTTTGACTCATCCCCTTCTCCTTTGGTAAAACTCTGGGCTGATTCAGTCATTAGACTCTTTCTCCTTCTCAACAATTTTTGCCAGAGCTCGATGAACCCTCCAAGAGCCATTTATTACCTCCTGTCGGGCTAGTCTTCACCCCGCTTCATGCTCTAAGATGGATTCCAAACATTTTTTCTAAAACTAAGCCTTCCTCATAATTTAAGGGACATAAATTATCTGAGTGTCCAATAAATCCACAAATGAAGCAAAAGTTGGGTAGCCTTTCATATTTAAAATCTACCCAAAAACTCTTACCATCTTTTTTCAGATTTGTCCCCTTCTTCAGCGATTTATCCATCTTCATAAGAACTCTAACCCGCATTATCCATCTCCATCTTCATAAGAACTCTTCACTCTTCTGGTTATCATCATATTTAATAAATTCCCCTGTGAAATTTCCCACACGTCTGGCAGTGCCCAGATTAACAAGACTATACGGAACATTATGGATATGAACCCAAAACTGAGTCTCCTTTAAGATAATTTTGTGTGGAATATCGTCAGGCATAATTTCTTTTAACATTAACAGACTACGCTGAAAATGTCAAGGACCTCCTTCAAGCACACGTAACATATCAAAACGATGATTAAAAGTAAATATATACCTCTTTTCACCAATTTCTTTTACCGACATACCCTTCCCCGACCTCTAGAGTGAAAGCATTGTCTCCTTAAGGTCTGAAAATTTGACCTTTCGGTCCGTCAGCACCTGGCCGATCACCGGAAAACCCGTCGTAACCACCTCCATCGGAACTCCCTCCGCCTCAACCTCATCAAGATTCAGCTCCTCCTCATCAGCCCCGATCGCCATTTGTTTATACTGATCAACAACACTGTCCATACCCCTCGCCAACCTCCGCCGTCGCACGCTGCTACAAGCCGCCTCGGAAAACTATGCTATCGAAACCTATTTCAACCTCTTGCCCAATCGCCCAACTCGTCGCTTCCCTTGCTACTGAGAACCTGACTAAATAATCCAAACACCCACCGCCCAAACCAACCAACCAACCAACTCGCCCTTCGATAGACTTGAAGGCGGACGAAAACCTAGGATCGGAGTTGCACGCGGCAACCCTAGAGAGAGAAACTCCTCCTCTTAGGTAGTACCCCAATCTTTAATTAGTGCAATAACATTTCATCTACAAGCTCCAATGTAGTCACATTTAACCAAAATTATAGAATATGTGCGAATTACAACATAACTTTCCAAAAAAATATCCACCGCTCAAAATCAAAAGATTGCTACAATGTATTACATCAGACGTACCACTCAAAATTGGAAAAATGTGGGTCATTTATTTTTGAAGTATGTCTCCTAAGATACCGAAATGTAGTACTGCTATTTCACTATCAATTTACCTATTTATTAGTTTATTGTACCCATTTTGACACTCATCTTTTAATTATGTGCTAGTTTTTACAAACCAACTAAATGGTGGACAGAAGTAGAAGCAATTTCATTACAAAAATAATAATGGCATTTTATCCAACTTTTCGCTCTGAATCTTGCCAAAATATCTGATAAAACATGAAATTTCTATATAAAATAAAGTCACAATTAAAAAATATAAACAAGGAAGAAAAGTCAAACATTATTTCCCCTTAAAAAAATAAAATGTTTAAATTCAGCTTATTATAAACAATATATGTGGAGAAAATGACTATGTGATTACATAAGAAGAGTATAATTAAGAGGGTGGAAAAAACAAAAATCCAGGTTATTTTCCTTGATCTTGCCATAATATTAACACTTGTTTACGGAATTAAGGTTGAGGAGTTGAATTAATCAATTGAGAATATGAAATAAATAATAATTTCTGACCCTCTATCCTTTGTCTTTCTATTCAATTTGCTATTTCGTATTCAATTTGGGCATGTTATATACATTCACGATTGACATTTTAGTGAGCAAGTGAAAGCTTATATACAAAACAAAAACAAAGATTTGAATCATTTGATAGTGTGAACTGGACCTTTCATGAATCCAGTGGCCAAAATGAACAACTATAATGATGCAGGAGTCTATAGCTTTATTTAACAAAAAATGACTCATAAACTATATACGTACTCAGGGGTGTTTCGAACTGATTCTGCTTCTGCTTCTTTTTTAAAAGCAGAAGCAGAATCAAAATCAGTTTTCAGAAGCTGGTACCCCCCGGCTTCTAAAAAAACTGATTCTGAGAGTAAATTAGAGCTCCAAAAGTGCTTCTGGAATTTCACCCAAACAATCCAGCTTCTGCTTCTGCTCCCTGAAGGAGCATAATCAGTTTTGAGAATCAGATCCAAACACCCCCTCAATATCACAATATGATTTATATACGAGGAAACATACTACAATAACTACACTATAAGTGGAAAGGAGAGACTACCAATCTACCATGGACTTGCACATCTATTATACACTCACAAGGACCAAATACCTTATTCTTGTGATATGATTATCATTCTTCACTAAATTGATTATCAAAATTTGTAATTAAGGTGTCGAAAAAGTATAGACATTTTTCTATATATTTTCTTTTAAAAATAAAAGATCACATACTCCAGTTCCAATGAATTTAATAAATTTGATCAGCAAGTAGATAACGTGTAAAAAATGATGTTTGAGAATTGTGAAGATAAAATTAAAGAGAATAATGATCACAAAATAATTACTTAGGAGGAAAAATTGTAAAGTTTTCAACACAATTGAGAGGTGAAAATTAGAAGATTTTTTTGCCTCTCAGCTCTATCTATGATAACACTTTTTCTCAATCGCTTAAATAAACTCTAATTAAATGAATATTATGGAGTATTTTTTGTAGACAAATGTGGTTGAGTTCACAACTTACAAACATAAACAATCTTGCTTGTACGTTGTACACGCTCATATGCACACGCCTCATACATGCGTTTGTGAACGTGTTGTTTTTTGTTTGTGAATAACTTGTTCACAGTCAAAACATACTATTTTTGTGAACAGGTTATTCACATATTACCTCCGTCCCGATGGACTTTGCCAAGTGCAAAGTAGGTGAGAAATAAGAATAGTAAAAACCGTGTGGTTGAGATTTGTGCAGATGAGAGAGAAATGTGCAGAACCACAAATTAGTTACTTTAATAGGAAAGTGTCATAGTTTTTTGGGACAACAAAAAAGGAAAGTTGGCAAAGTCTAATGGGATGGAGGGAGTATAAAAAATTTGTTTGTTCACAAACGGCATGTACAAATAGATGTGCACAAATAAAATTTTTCATGCATGTTTGACCGTGTATGTTTGTCATTCCAATTCTTAAGAGATTTTTCAAATAAAAAACTTGTTGAGAAAATACACTAAGTAAGTCGAATTATAGAAGTAATTAGCCACAACAGTTTGTATATAAAAAAGAACTCATTTAAATTAAACATTCAACCTTTTATCAAATAATTATCATCTATTTTTATGTTCTTTCCAATCATTAAAATATACTCCATCCATCTCATTTTATATGTCTAACTTTCCTTTAGGTTGTCCCAAAATAAGTGTTACATTTTCCTTTTTGGAAAGAAATATGTAATCCACAACATTTCACTTTAATATACTCAAATTTCAACCAAAATTTTTACCTTTTCAACAACTTTATTATTAATTGTGTTAGTATCAAATGAAACCGGAGGTAGTAACATTTTTTTAAAAGATTCACAAAAACATCTTTTTTTATAGAGGCCTTGTTTGGCAATCGGCTATTAGCTGTAGCTGTTAGCTGGTTATGACAGCTGATTGACAATAGCTGGTTGTGTCAGCTGTTTTAGTCGGCTGGTTACGTTAGCTTTTCGTCAACAAATGTTTGGTAAATTAGCTGTTTAAGAATAACTGTTTGAGTTTAAAAAGACATATAAGGACATTAGTATTTGATTTTATTTGTATTTATTGCTTCCAAAACTAATATTACCTACATTTACTTGCAGAGTATAAATAATTTAAATTTTAGATATTGATAAATACAACTACATGAAAAATAAATTAAATTAAAATTAACATTTTAAATTAATTCGAATAATAGGAATTAAAAAATCAAGTTTGATTGTAATTAAAAAAAACTAAATAAATTTTTAGTTTGTAATAAAATCAAGTTTAATCAATGCTCCATGTAAGCATTAGGATGATGCATAAACGTGGGCTGATGTAGTGATGTGAAACATCATAATAAAGCATAACATGTGTGAACTGGTGTGCTGCACTGCTGCCATTACGGAGGGCATAGAGGGGAAATACGGAGCAGCCAACGCGAAACGCTGCACATGCTAGCGTTTTCATTTTCAGATGTTTGGGTTCAACAAGCTAAAGCAATCAGCCATTTACCAAACAAACAATTGAGCTATTTGGATGGTCAAACTCATTAATTGTAGTCAAACAAGCCAAAACTTAGCTGATAAGCCATTCTCCAAACACACCCAGAAACAAAAGCATCTTTTAATCTTTCAGTTTTGACAAACATATCTTGAAAATTTCAAGCCATTATACGCCGGTAGAATATACTCCATACTTCAGAATCTTTGTCAATACACTGATTCACATATCAAATGCACGGTGCAGATTAGTCGCCAATTTTCTGGCGGGCCCAAGTTCGAGTGACCTTTCTTGTTGGGGGGAAGGAAGTTCCAGAAGCCAGAGAAAATGGAAACTTTCTTAATTTCTTCTTCATCATCATCAGTGCTTCATTCTCCAGCCCGAGAGACTCCATTGATTTTTCCTCTTTTGAGCAAAGGCAAAGCAAGGTTTGCACCTATTACTGTCAGGGTCTCAAGTCAATCTTCCAAATCCAACAAGATGCATTCTGAATTGACTGAGAGTGAAGCGGGGAAATCCCTTTCAAGCAAAGATAGTTCTTCCAATAGGAAAATGGAGGAATATAACATAGCCATGAAGAGGATGATGAGGAATCCCTATGAGTATCACCATGATCTAGGTCAGCTCCTTTCTTCTGCATCTCTAATCAATCTTCTCTTGCTATTTCCAATTTTAGGTCCCATTTGGTAATTGGTGATTTGGTGGCACCCATCGACTAATTGTACTTATTTTGTCGATCAGCTAAGTAATTGCAATAAACAGAATAAGAGTCTTTGTAGTTTGAATAAACTTTATAGTGCTCAACTTTTTCCTTCCAAAAAGAGATCAAATTCAGGCACATCACCCTTGCTGGATTTGATCATAATACTGTTATATAAATATGTATGACTCCATTTGGCTGAATTGAGTATTACCAATCGCTTTTTCTTTCAGAAAATTCGATCTGCTTTCTACCAAATAACCCTTACGGCCTTACCAAAAAGGCCAATTCCATGGAGAACTAATATAGTAATATAGTAAAAACGACACGGGGGTCGAAACTTAACTAAATACGTAATACATAATAAAAAAGGTGGGCCATTTTTAAACAATACTTGAGTTGAATTTTTCATATGTAGCTTAGATAATGATAGTTTACATAAGACAATAGAGTTATAGATTTAATATATGTGTCATATACATTATAGGCTTCAGTGAGTAATGAGTGAATTAGACATTGTTTTTAAAATTTGAAAATATAATTATATTACACATCAAATTTTACTTAATTCAAATTTAAATAGTGCTGATTTTCCAAGAGTCAACCATTTACTCGTAATGGGTTATGAGAGCCATAATATATCAAATTGAAGGTATCTCAGTGCTTTATAGTCTCAAACTTTCAGGGGTCAGGCGTTCAGTTAGTTGTTCCTCTGGCTCTGGCCCTCAATATATCAGGGTATTGACTTTTGAATCTATTGGTGTTATTGTGGTTTTGATTTGCTCTTTATATCTTTCCCCTGCTTTCCACAATTTAGATCACGAAAAAGTGTTTGGTAAAACCAATTTCGAGTAAATAAGTAATTCATATAATACTTGCTCTTTTATTAATGATATAAGCCGATTAGTGCTACCAATCTCCCCGTAAGAAATTCTGATATGGTTTTGTTTCATACTGAGCAAAAGATTGTGTGATTATAAATCTTTCTTAATCTTATTTAATCGGAGACCTCCCAAAGTACATGTCGTTGCAGTCTAATATGGTCCTGATTTGTTACTATGTTTTCTCTCAATAGGATTAAGTAGTGTCATCCTCAAACCATACTAATATACTGAGCTTATACTGTATCAGATGCTCCTATTTATGGGAAAAAGTAGTACTCCTATGTAGGGAAAACTCATATGTCTTACTCCTATTTTGAGTTATTTCTTTTGTATTTTCTCAGTATAAAATATCCGTTATATCCTAAAAATTGCTAGCCGGGCTGAAGATCAAAACTTATAGTGCAGGGCCCAGGCAGAGTTATGTGGGGCATAGTTGAGGTCAGTACATGATAGAAAAACATAGGTGGTCAAGGGAGGTCTAGCACCTGGACATGTCTGGGCAGGGATTCTTATAGTATACTCCCTCCGTCCCCTTTTAAAAGTCCCGGAAGAAGGTGGCACGGGTTTTAAGAAAAGTGGGTTTGTGTGGTTGATATTAATTGATAAAGTAGGAATAAAGTAAGAATAAAGTAAGAATGATTTTGAGCCACACAAACTTTACCAAATGAGGTATGGGACATTTAAATAGGGACATCCCAATATGGTAAAATGGGACATTTAATTGGGGACGGAGGGAGTAGTTCTTAAGTATTGAATTTTCGCGCGTGGAACAATTTATGTGAATTGTTATGATAAATATTGCTAACAGTGTGTTCCTTTCTTTCAGGTATGAACTATACATTGATAACTGAAAATCTCATTGTTGGTTCTCAACCTCAGAAAGTTGAAGACATAGACCACTTGAGGGAGGAACAGAATGTGGCATATATCCTAAACTTGCAGCAGGACAGGGATATTGAGTACTGGGGAGTAGATCTTCCCTCCATAGTACAAAGATGTGAAGAACTTGGAATTCGTCACATGAGATGCCCAGTAAGCTAAGCATTTAGTGATTTAACATGTATGATGCTCTTTGGAACTTTATACCAAATTGCATATTGCTCCCCCCAAAAGTGAAGCTTTAATCTTTTGCATGTTTGAAAACATCCAAACACAACTAGTGTAGGTCTGGAGAAGGTGAGATATAAATAGACCTTACCTGTAAGAGTAGAAAGGCTGATTCCGAGTTAGACTCGGGCTCAGGAAAATTTTGGGACGTTTTGAAGAAGTTAAACATTTTAATGTTTTTTTTTACTTGTACCAATAAAAGTTTTTTCATCATGGGTCATCCTGGAGCAGTCTCACTGTGACTTGGTACAGGGGCTAACCCTCCCTTACCCACCGTAGGTGGGAGCCTTTGTGGCACTGCTCGGGTAATGCTGGAGTATCAATTAAAGTTTTTTATAAATTTTGGATGTAGAAAAAAACATCTGAAGGTGTAAGATTGGTAAAAAACTGTTTGGACGATTAAGGCAACATAAGCGCAATGCACCATAATTATAGGCCCCAGAAAGGATAATACCCCAACTTTATTAAGATATAAAAATACAAATGCAATTATAATGTTTGAGTTACTCCAATGGTAAGTTCTAATTTGCCAAATTCCTCTTAGTAAGTTATAAAACAAACCACAGATCCCAAAATGTGTCTGTTTTAACAAGCCACCACATTTTGTAAAAGTACACTGAAACAAATTTTAAGATTATTGTCAATATCCACAAACACATTAGAAATAAACCTCATGGCTTATATAAGTGCATTAGTAAATGTTTTCATTAAAGCTACTACCTTAAAATCCACAGGCCAAAGATTTTGATCCAGATTCCTTAAGGAACATATTGCCTAAGGCTGTTTCGTTATTGGAATGCGCCATTTCTGAAGAGACAGGAAGAGTTTATGTGCATTGCACAGCTGGATTGGGGCGGGCTCCTGCTGTTGCAATTGCATACATGTTCTGGTTTTGTGACATGGATGTAAGTTCTATATATTCCAGTCAAATTCAACTTAATTATTCATATTCGCATATAGCTAACACTGATGAATAATCTTGTAATTCTTGTGTTGCTTACGGCATGAGCAGCTAAATAGAGCATACCAGACTCTCACTTCAAAGAGGCCATGTGGGCCTAACAAAAGAGCGATACGTGGGGCCACATATGATTTGGCTAAAAAGGACTCTTGGAAAGAACCCTTTGAGAATCTTCCTGACCACGCCTTTGAGGGTGTAGCAGACTGGGAAAGGACGTTGATTCAAGACTGTGTTCGTGCTCTCCGATATTCTTGAGGAAAATATATACTATCGTATTTAAATGTGATTGTTCAGCTTATAGCTCATTTACTTAGAATGTCATTTTGTACATGGGCACTTTCAAAGTAATTGATGTTTCATCCTCTTAAAATTGTACTGGATTTTGTATCTATGTTTCTTTCGATTTATTGCTACTTTGATATTGAATCATTGTTAATTTGTTATTGTGTACCCTTCAGTTTCTTCATGTCATGTGACTTGTCTATTTATTATTGATTTGAACGTTTATTTTTATTTATAGAATTTATCGAAACGAAATAACAATCCGGATGATGGGTGAACGACGTGAATTGAAGTCGCGCATAATGGTCTTGGATTGAGAATAGGAATTTAACTCAATGAAATTGAATCCTCTTTTTTTTCTTTGTTAGCTCCTATTTCATATATCAATGTTAGTCGACCCAAAACTCTTTGGAACGAAGGCTTTCATGTTGTTATTATTGTATGCATTTATCGAATTTTTTAAGGATCACGGGTTGCCCTTCTATTATCGCCTCTACAGCGTTATATCTTTATGTACGCAAGTTTTCAATTTCTTATTTATCATTTCCAAAAAAGATGTCGCCTCATCCATGAGGGCATCCAAGACCGACTGAGTAGTTATTTGAGAGTGCAAATTGAACTTTGATCACACACAGGGATGGACTCGGGCCGGGCCAACCGGCCCGGAACCGGACCGGACCGCTACTGTGCGGGCCCGGACCGGCCCGGTCAACCGGTTAGTGCCCGGTTCGGGCCACCCGGCCCGGTGGGCTTCGGTTCCGGGCTCGGGCCCTCCATTTGGTGAACCGGCCCGGCCGGTCCGGGCCGAATTTATTTATTTATTTATTCTGAATTTTTTTTAAGTTTTTTGGGTTGGGCTGGGTATTTTGGGCCATTTGAGGTGGTTTGGGGTGGTTTGGGGGTGAGGGGGGTGGGTTGGGGGTTAAATAGGAGAAGCCAAAAAAAAATTACAAACCGGGTGGCCCGACCCGGAACCGGTGGCTACCGGTTCGGGCTCGGGCCCAACAAAACAGAACCGCGAACCGGCCGGGCCCAGGCCCGAACCGGGCCCGAACCGGAACCGGTCCACCCCTAATCACACAGTGAGAAGAGAGAGGTTTTTGTGACACCTCTTCCCACTTGCTGAGTTATGCCCCCAACTTTTCTTATATTATTCTTGGGATGTTTTTAATTAAATTGAAAATTTTGATTTGGTTTGTTTAACTCTGCTCTCATATGATATTAGATTGAAATCAGTCTAATTAAAAACATTCTTAATATTATCATTCATTCTTTGATTATTGTAGTATTATAATAGTGTTTAGTGTAATATTGCACAACTCCTCTATTTTGTACTAATATTACAATTTCAATAAAAATAATAATATGACATGTTTAAAATAAAAGAGGATAACTATCAAATAGGCTCTCAAACTTACATAAAAAAGTGCAAATCACCCCTTATAGAGGATAAAAATTCAATCAGGAAGGCAGCCAAATTATTTTCTGAAATATAATGCGCTGTTTAACTGTGGTGCTATCTTCAAAAATTCATTTGACTGCCTAACTGGTTGAATTTTCAGTTGAAGTTTGGTATGAGTAAACTAGACTTAATGAATAAGATGCTCAAAAAAATTCATCAAATAATTCCACGGGGAACCGCCCCAAATGGTGACGGCCGAACAAAGCCTCCTATATAAGGGGTGATTTGCATTTTTTATGTAAGTTCGAGAGGTGATTTACACTTTTATAATAATATCACAATTTCAATAATAATATGATTGATTATTTTTATGACTAAGTTTGTTGAAGTGGATAATTTTAGCATCTTATTACAATTTTTCTTTGTTTTAATAACAAAATACATTTGAGATTTAATTTTAAAAGGAGATTCAACATATTGAGCATATTTTAGTGTTAACAAGCTTGGCAAGCTATTATTTTATTCTCAAATTTGATATACTTTTCGGCCTCATACAAAAAGATGGCAACCTTCATTCCTTTGTAGGATATTAGATGATGAAAGAACACCGTGTTTTGTTACCAAAAGTGGCAAGCAAACGAAACAATTATCTTTCATACGCTGTCGTGTCTAGTTACGGCCGAGTCCGCCCTTGTCATTTAGGATGGCGACCGCCCCTTAACGTCATCGTGTCCAGTTTAAGGACGGGCCCACCCATGCCATTCGGGATGGGAACCGCCGCTTTATGCAGCACGATCGTTCCCTCAGCACTGTCATGCCTAGTTACGGTCCAGTCCGTCCATGCCATTCAGGATGGAGATCACCACTTTATGCAGCACGATTGGCCCCTCAGCCCTAGCGTGTCTGGTTCATGGTCAGGTTCGCCCATGTCATTCAGGATGAGGACCGTCGCTTTATGCAGCACAATTGGCCCCACATCACCATCGTGTCTAGTTCATGGTCGGGTTCACCCATACCATTCAAAATGGAGATCGTCGCTTTATGCAGCACAATTGGCCCCTCAGCCACTCAGCGCCATCGTGTCTTGTTCACGATCGGGTTCGCCCATATCATTCAAGATGGGGAACATAGCATTTCAATATGAAGTATAATGAATATAATCTTATATTTCACAGCACCATCTAGTCTTGGACCCGGTTCGGGCCGCCCAGCCCGTGAACCGGCCCGGCCCGCTACTGTGAAGGCTCAGACCGGCCTGGTCCTTCGGTCCCAAAACCAGGCGTTGACCCGAACCGGTAGGAATAGCGGGGGCGGTCCCGGTTCACCCCATTCCTTGGAACCGGCCCGGGCGGGCCTGGTCCCGGTTCGAGCCTTCTATTTTTTTTTTTTTTTTTTGGTTTTTTCATTGTTTTGGGCTTTTCCTGAGTTGGGCTAGGTGTTTTGGGGGGGGGGGGTTGGGGTGGAGGTAGGGGCGGGGGGCGGGGGGCAGGGGTTAATAAGAAAAGGAAAAAAAACTATGAACCCGGCCCGATCCGGACCCGACCCGGCCCGGACCCAATAGTAAGCCGGACCGGTCTCGGGCCTTCAACCAAAAATCAAAAGCCTGGTCGGGCCTAGGCCCGACCCGGACCCGAGTCCATGACTAGCACCATCTTGGACAAAACTATCAAATAGATAAATAATATTACTATTATGATATTATCCTGTAAACAATGATAGATGATGTTACAATTATGAATTATCCCACCTTAAAGTAAAAAAATATGAATAAATATAACATTAAAGATATCTCATTGAGTTTGAATCAATGTACGCATTGTATATTTGTATTAGCCCCCCATATTTTCTTAGCTTTTAGCAATTTTCTAACAGACTAAAGGATTAGAGTCATTAGACGACTGCAAGAGTACAACAAAAATGTAATTTCTTGCGAATGACTTCTCTTCTGAGATAAGAGATAACTAGGTTCACACTCACTAGATGTGTCTATATCTGTCAAGTGTCAAACTATAAAGAAAACAAAGTAATATGCTACTCTTATGCTGATGCATCTATTTCTGATTTTAATTTGGACAAGTGTGTGGGTAAAACTCTAAAAATATAAAACAAATAACTTCCTTACAAGTTGTAATCAATGAATAAAATAAATTAACTCCCAGCCATTTCAACTGCTGCAAATGTTTGAAGCCTTGAGAGTTGTTTTTGCCTGCGCCCTAGATGAAAAGCTATCATTATCCACAACAAGCATACCTGACAAAAATGAAAGATAACAACAATAAGTAGTGTTTCAATCGCCATAGGGTAAGGGCTGCACATAGATCTCGTTTTTCCGTCCCTTAACCAGACCATAACAAAGTTCTTTAAAACATTATCTGGTTCTCTAGTGTCCAAAGTACCGCAATTATACCAGAATATATGCACCGTAAACTTAACTACCTCAAGTACTCAACACAGTGAAATATTAGATGCAACTCAGACTACACATAATAAAATTTAAAGGGAATCTGACTTTGTAAATTTCTTTGAGTGCATATATATACATGTTCATCCAAAAAGGAGAAATTTGAATTTGCACCCCATTTTTAAAAAGCAAATCTGACAATATGTACACCCCATCTGATTAAAAAATCAGGTGTTTGCACTTCATTCCTTAAAACAGTTTTTTGAACTGGGTGAGGTGAATATATTGATATTTTTTAAAATGGTGCAAAGTTCAATTTCACCCAAAAATTGGTCCAAAGTCGATTTCCACCTAAAATTTACTATGAAAATTAGGGGTAATAATTTAATGTCAACACTCGATTATCAACTTAATGCTTTTTAATGGTGTATTTAATTTAGAGAGCATCTTGCATCTCACAGCTAGGTTCTCTCCCCTTCATAATAAGATAGGAGATATAAAGTAAAATCTACTTTTATAGTTTTATAAGAACATGCAAAAGCCACCCACAGAAGAGTGCTAAAACTGTTTTTTTCTTCGGAGAATTTGAAAAAAAAAAAGTTTAAAAATCTATTTTTTAACATACCGGCAATGCACATAGAGAGACTGTAGTGACTTTGCCATGGAGTGTGCTGAAAAGGAGCTTATACATGCCAGCTGCTGTTGCATCTCCCAGCCTTTGAACAATTACATCTATGCATACCTTTGGCAAAGACATTTGGTTTTGCAGAAAATGATAAAATCCAGGATGATAAGAAGTCACTCTTTTTTCCAAAAGAAATGTTAAAATAAATCAATTAATAGAACTATTTCATACCTTTGCTTTATACTTCTCTTCCTGTGAGACAACAGTAAAAAGAAGCTCCCGTCCAGGCCTAGTTACCACATAATTCACCACCTATATCAAACAGTTTGTCAGGCCCACTTTACAAAAAAAAATATAAAAAAGGCTAGTTGTACACTCTACACATTTGCACAATGTCGGGTGTTTTAAAAATTATTTTTATGTTATAAACTATAAAGGGCCATTCGTTTATTTTATGAATTTTTCTATGAAAAAACATCATGTTTTTTCTACATCCTTCAGTTCCTTGTGCTTCATGCCTTAATCTATACTCCGTATAAAATAACATATAAAAATAAATACTAGTATAATTGAATGATTGTTTGTGGTAAATGAAATATAATCTGCAACCTAAATAAGCAAGGGGAAATTTACTGGACTTTGACTAAAAGATAGTGAGTTTCCCTAAATATGACTATTAAGGGGAAAGAGGGGTAGTTTAACTCTTATCTAGTATAAATATATCAATAATTAGGTGGCACACCGAGTGGTGGCATATACCGGTGGTAGACCTGATTCGGACTTCCTACCTACCTGAATGACATTTTAGAAATGGAATTACTGTTTTACCCTCAATTTATGAGATAGAAAGTTTACTACTGCAAGGATGAAGCAATAATTTTACCGCCAAATGCCATCCAGGTAAGAATGTGCTATTGTCTTCATTTCAATGTTACAAGAAGTGCAGATAAAAAGATAAAGCGAATCAAAATTAAGCTTGAAAAAGAGAAGAGAGTACACAAACCTTTCTAAGAGTTTCAGATATGGCAACTTGAATCCATGTGGGCCATATAGCTAATGTGATTAAATTTATGCAAGCAACAAACGGAGACGAGCAAATAGCAATAGTAATCCCAGCAATGCTAAGGATGCGTCCCTGTGTATATAGCAAAGTAAAGCAAACTATTTACTACAGAAAACAAAAGATATATTAACTGTAATAAAATCCCACATTTCAATACATTACCGTTAATGTAAGCTGTCCTACAAGGATAAAAACAGCAATCAAACTATTGATCTCAGCAAATAATCGCCTTCTTCCCACGGGATTTGTAACTGTTTTGGCAATAACAGTCACTTTCTGCAAAAAGAAAGGGTGAGTTAGTTAAAGAAATGGTAAGTTAATTAAAACATTTAAATACATCTCACTTTGTGTCCAAAGAAGAGAAAAACTACTTACCTGAAAGTAGAAGAAAGATGAGATAATTGCACTCAGCCACAGAAATAAGGATACACATTGTAAATATGTTGATGACAATATAAGCCGTATCCCATCTAATATGGCCCAGAGCTGCTGAGGCTTTCCGGTTGAGGAAGACAATTCTGGAGACGATTTTTTGTGTGTCACCTCTGTTTGATCAGTAGGATGATCAACATCAACTAACCTACATACCCATAAAACAAAAAGTAAAATACATTTTATGAGTCATGCCCCTTCTATATTCAACAGCATATTCCGCAGGTTAATATATGATTTTAGCATTGCGCCAGAGGGACTGTAGAATAAATAGGAACTGAGTAACTTATTCTCATGAAGGCCTAGGTGAATATAAATTATTAGGATATGTCTGGATCCTAGAAAATGCTAGGTGTAAGAGGAGGCTGAGGAAAGTTGTTTTCATATTTTCAGCTTTACCTGGAAGATGCAAAGGAAACTAAATAATTTTTGTAATCTTTTGAAATACATTAATATTTTAGTGCTTACCTAGTTCAAATAAATAAATAAATACATAGGTACTTGAAAAAATATCTCAATGTCTGCATCCTAGAAAATGCTATCTGGGGGGCTAAGCAAATTTATTTTCTTATGTTGGGATTTACCACGGAAAATGCAAAGGAAAAGTTAAAAAATGATTAGCTTTAATCTTTTTTAAATGTATTAAGATTTCTTATTGTTTATGTAGTTGAATAAATACAATAAATTTACTTAAACAAATATCTCAAATAAATTTATTGAGTTTGAGCAAATTTTCTATTTTCCCCAAATTCTCTTACTTCCAGTTTCACCTCCAATTTTCTTTCCCTAGTACTTTCCAGGTTATAAAACAGACTTTTATGAATGAAGATTCAAGGAAATATTGATATTTGGAAGAAAGAACAATAGACAAAAATAGAGTGGATAGGGATTATAACCTGATGGGCGATTGTTCTTCGGGAAGATGGGAGATATCTTTATTTATTCCCTTGGATGACTGTGAAGCAAGTTCCATGAGAAGAGCAGCAACAAGAAGTAAATCTTCGAGGGAGAAAAAATAAAGATATTAAGAAAATAGAAATTGGATTTAATCCAGTTAAAGCCAACAAAAGCTACAAAAATGAGTACATTAAATAAAAGATGCACAGTTCATCCATACATGGTCCTAACCAAGCCATTCCTGTGGCAAACAATGAACCGAAGAGCTGGCCAAGAGTGGCACCAGCCCCAATGAACCCAAACAATCTTGAACCTGACTGAAAATGAGGGTCATCAAATCTATGCCTAAACAGATCTTAATGTTATTCTGCATGGAACAAGAGTGCTGGGGGAGGGGGAGTACAAATTAAAGATTGCATACCATAAGTATGAAGTGGAAAGAGGAAGCGGTCCAGCTCAGCAAGTCGCCGACTCACTCTCCCATATGGGAGGCCTCGGGTTCGAAACTCAATGGAGTGAGTTTCAACCCAGATTACTCCAGGCCCCCCAGACCCCCTCCCCCAGACGCCCCCTCGAGTAAAAAAAAAGTATGAAGTGGAAAATGGGAAATTAAAAAATGTACTCTCTATCCCTAAAAGAGTCATGTTTCATCTAGGAGAACTTTTAAATTGTACTATTGTAGTAAGGTACATCTCTTGTAAACCATCCAGCCTACTTATTATGTTACTAAATTTTACTCTCTGATAAATTAAATTTTACACAACTTTTTTGGACCTTCTTTTAAAATTAAAAATAAAATTGTGAAACACGACTTTTCGGGGCATCGCGGGGGTAGAACCATCCTAACCTCACCTCATTATCCATCACATCAATTACTCTAGCCCATGTTGAGGAGATCGTTATCAGATTAAGCAGAGCAACCTGCAAAAAAAGTAACAACTGAGTAATATGCAACAACTTCCTTCTATGAAGCAAGTTTTAATTGTTCAGCCAGAAAAGATATCAAATGAAAAGTTCACCTAAAACGGGAAAGATAGAAATAAATGCAGTATTTTACCCAAAGGAAAAAGCTGATTCTCACGGTGATGTAAAACCATCCATGGTCACCCCACCCAGGCGGGCCAGCTTGGTCAACAGTGATCTTGAGTTCCTCTTTTATTATGGACATGTTAAAAAATCCCTAAATACCAAACCATTCATTACATCTCTTTAAAGCTCCATCACTTAAGTTGCTTTTAATTTCCATTTGTTCTCACCTTGAGATTAAAAGAGTTTCCAGGAGTAGATGAGATCCACAGAGCGAAGAATACTATAAGAGAAACAGCAAAGAACCTGTGTATCAAGGCCAGGGCCTGGAATTTGATGTGGTACCATTACAAATAAAAAAATCAAACCAAAAGGCTGGTGTATCGTATGTGGAAAGTATAATGAGACATTGATTTAGGCTCTCTTTGGTAGCCATAATCGGCACATTATGTTTATTATTTATGCTTATCGACAAAATAAGCAAAATAACAGTTTGGTAAGGCACTAAAAGCCTGAAGTGACAGAATTGATTGAATCTTTTGAAATTACAAACCAAGTATCTAAATATAAAAATACACACGCAGTCACACACGCATATAGTGCGGAGTATAAATTAAAATAAGTTAAAGAACATAATACCTAAAAAAAGTAAAAAGTATCATTTCCGTTCATTTCAGCTGTTTTAGCAAAAGAAAAGCAAAATTCTACACTAATTGTTTATTATTACCCGATTCAGCCAGTGCAATTTTCATAAGTTAGTGTTTAGCGAAAAAACTCATAAAATAGATTCGCAAATCCTAAAAATGATAAACCTGCACTAAACAGTTTTTGACTTATTTGGCTGAAATAGATGTTACCAGGCATTTTTTGTATCACAAAAATCAGCAAGCCAGATAACCCTTACTAAAGGGTCTCCTGGAAAGCTTACCGCTACTAGCATCTTGTTTAAAATGCGGAATGGAAAAGGGCTCTCTTTCTATACCTTGGATTTCGAAAGATTTGGCAATGTGAAAATCAGAGTGGATAGTGGAGCAGCTACCAATGTGAGTAGTAGAGATCCCATGAATAAACCGGGTAGATTTCCTAACCCCAAGGATATTGCGCCATCATCACGTAATGGAAGAACTACGAAATATGCACTCAGAATCTGCAAATCACCCCAGTCATAAAGACTAAGCATTCTGATAGCCAAGAAGAAGCATACTACTACTATGGTAGTGCTATGTTTTAATTTGATAACATATGATATTTTGTTAAATGAACATACAGCTAAACTCAGACTGGGCGAGCTAAATCAATCACAAATCAGAACTTGTAAAGGTCAAATCCTGACAATGGCACTACTATCCGTCTGAAAGTGAACTGAAACGAAATGAAGAGGTCAATGAAAGGTTGGCTTACGAAGAAGAAAGTGGATGCGGATGATATCAAAGCGGAAGTTTCGTGATGATGAACCGTGACGAACCACGACAAGATTGAGTGTGAGCGGTGACTACTGCCCTCCGAATTCATCGGCTTCACCTTCCGCCTCACTTTGGAATCCTTGCGCCTTAAGAATTTTAGAGTTTTATCTCTTCCCCTGACAAAACCTCTATGGATCCCCGCAAGCCCTAACATCATTCCTACATCGCAAATAAAGACGCGGTATATACCATTTCCTGAGGCAAGTTTGATTATTTTCTTACAACTGCGTTAATTTTTTTTCAGGATTCTACTGCAACAGAATGTCCATTACTCCATTTTACTTTTGTTCGGTTTAGGAAGAATCCGATAAACGAGAAGGGAAGGGATTGTTGAAAACTGGGGTAATTTTACTTAGATTCTCTAGTCTTCTGTTCCCATAATCAGTATCTTTGATCAAATGATCATCAATATTTCTTAGAGAAAATGGTCATGATACATAAACGAATTTTAAAGTAGAGGAATTTATATTTTTACAGTGGTTTAAATATGTTTTTAATCCCGAGACACAACTTTCATACTAAATATAGTACTACTTCCGTTCTTATATAAGTGTAACAATCAACATTTCACACTTGCCGAGACACAACTTTGACCATTAGTATATATAATTTTCTATTAGTAAAAAATAAAAAAAAATTACAATGAGACAAATTTAGTAATATTTTTTTCAAAAAAATATATTAATACATCAATAAATATAATGTATTCAAAGTAGAACATGTGAATAGTGTAAAATTTGCAATGTTGCACTTATTTAAGAACGGATGTAGTACATTTTATTTTACGTTCTTCCAAAATATTTTCTTTATTTTTCATCATTGAGATATACTCCGTATGTTGCCTTTCTTTTTAATCCATGACTAATGATAACAACATCCGTTTGACAACGAAACAACTCCGGCTAATAGGTATTCTTTAATTCTTTGTCATGTCATTCAAAAAGTATTTAATTTCGTTTTTTAAATGTTTTTAATGCATATTTTAAAAATGTGAATAATTAGTTTTAATATTGTTTTAACTCTCTTATTAGCCTCAAAAATATTATAAAATGACAAATTTAAATGTTTCTGGGAGATTCATGCAACCGACAATAAAAAATCTAAGTGGAGTTGTTTCGGAGTTAGAGATGGACTAAAATAAAAATGGCGCTTGTTATAGTGGTCTAACAATATTTGCTAGGACTAAAACAATATTTAAACCTTTTATAGTTATTTGCTCTGTCAGAACGTTAAAATAGCTGATCTGGTCAAACTATCCGTTTGTAATATATAGTTGAAGCCCATGTCATCAAATAATTAATATATAAATTCTATTTTCCTTCAATCCACTCGTTTCACCTTCGCTCTTCATCTTATATTTTTCTCGCGTCTCCCTCCTCTCCGCTCTACATCTTATATTTCTCTCGTCTGCTTTCTCTGCTATCCCGTCGGCTTCTTCTTTTTGCTCTATTTTATTTTCTTGTTCTCTTGCTATAATAAAGATGGACCAATAGCAAATATCGTACCTTAAGTTGTTTCCCATAACATAAAGAGTATGTCATCATGCAATGGATACAACAAAGTACTTAAACTTGGTTTTGTTGGGATCCCTCCTTAATTGGAGAGGTTCTAGAAAATTCTAGAGCTTTCTAGATAAGTATAGAATTTTCTAGAACGTTCCGGAGAATCCTAGAGAAGTCTAGAACTCTCTAGAAGCTTGTGGAACAGTGTGGAATCCTCTAGAATATTCTAGAGATGTGTGGAAACTTCCGGAAGCCTATGGAAGAGTATGGAAGCATATGGAAGAGAATGGAGAGGTGTAGAGATTCCTTGGAATTCTCTAGAATAGGTAGTCATGTGTAGATCATTCTAGAGAACTACTCTCCACCACTCATTATGGAGGTGGAGTTGTATAAATAGGAGTAGGAGCCTCCATTCCTAACCATCCTAGCAAGAGAGAATCCACTTCTTAGAGTGAGAAAGTTAGAGAGTCTCTTTGAGAGAGAAGAGAGATAGCTTGGGAAGACATCATCCTCAAGCTTGAGTGAGCCACCATTGAGTGAGACAATTTTGTAACATCCTTGTATACCCTACTATTCTTTTGTATAGTGGAAGAATCTCCATATTGGAGAATTTAAATCGTGTGCTCCCATCGCTACCTAATTTCCTAAGTGTCTATCTTAACTTCACGAAGCGGGAAAGTCCGGAGTGTTTTTTCCCAACAGGTTTTCTGTGTTAATTGATTACAAATTTAACCCTCACGTTATAAAAACCTGAAATGGAAAAGACGAGCCGTTTATTTTCTACCTTTATTATCCAAGTCAGCATATATTCACTTCTATAAGTCTATTAAAGCAAATATTCACTTCTATAAGTTTATTCATTGATATCTGCTTTTTATAAAGCAAATAGACTACGCTTCTTTAATATTTAAACCTAACTCTAACTTCTGGTTCGATTGCAAGAGAAGATTTCCATTTTCTGTGAGCAATTTCTACATAGATTGTTCCTTGCGAATCAAAAAGTGGTTAAGCGCTTACAATCTTCCATTGTCCGTCAAGACCGTAAAAAGAGAGAAAGAGGTGGCTATCTAGTGAGAGTCATTTCAATCTTTATGCTACAATGTCTCTATGGGCAAGAGGATGATTGAATCATCACTTCTGGGAATTGCAAGCGGCCTTTTACGTTCTACACGTTTCATTTCATCCTCTTGTATTATTCCGGATCAGCAAGCTTGCTTGAGCAAAGCAAATGAAGCAAAATATGATTACAAAATCAACAATTTTCGTTATCCGTAGAATGAACTCCCTCAAAAATCTCGTTGTACTTTAATTTCCTCTTCCAACTTTCCTCTTCCTGATGCTGGGTCTCCGACAGCCCGGCAGGTACACCTACGACTGGAGCGTGGTGACGAGTATAACCATTTTGGGGTTTTGTTTTGCGGGGTTGTTGATCTACAGAAAGTGGGAATGAGACCCCTTACAATCGACGGCGGTGGAAAATTAATGAAGAGAAACAATGTTTGGGGGAAGAGGACACAATTGTGATGGCTCATGGCCAGAAGAGATACACTGAAATGGACTCACGACTAGGGCTGCGAAAAAACTCCCGACTCCCGACTCCTGATCCTGACAATCCCGATCCCGACTAGTCGGGAATTTTTCCCGATCCCGACTAAGTCGGGACAGGACCATGATTTTTTTTTAAAAGTCGGGATCGGGAAAATCCCGACATCCCGACATTATATATATATATATATATATACATGTATAGAATTATATATGAATATATAAAAATGAATATACATTTATAAAAAATGAATATGTATCTAACTAATTTCATATCTTTTTTAATTACTTATTCCTTACATAGATTAATCTTTTACTACGAGTATCTTACAATATCAATCTTTTAAAACTATTCGGCATTTGTCCCAAAATGAATATTTGGGATCCCAACTAAATAGAGATTATTCTTGATCCTGACAATCTAAATCACAACAATATTACAAAATTTGCGGTTCTGATGAACCCTTTAAAAATCATGATCGAGACTAAGATTTTTTTCTTTAGTAAATAATCATAATATGTATTTATACATTATATTCATTGGTCACAAAGTTTATAAATGAGTCTACTTAGTTTTGAATTTTAAATAATATACGTTACACATCCTTCTTTTAGTGATTTTTATATAATGTTTGAAGTAAGTTTCACTAAGCCTTGATAACTTATTCAAAAATTATACTATTAATTAATTGAAGTTACAAATAAAAATTATTCTAAAAGTATGTACTAGTGTGAACTTGTGATGATAATTATTACAATAAATTTTATAAGTAGATGATGATAAATATGGTATAACAATGAACAAAGAATAATCTTGAAACCATTAAATATCAAAGTTAGTGTTTAACCAAAGAAATTACATAATTTTATGTTTGATACTTCATTGTCGGGATTTAGCGAGATTAAGCGGGACTCCCGATTGGGATCCCGACTTAATCGGGATTTTAATGTCGGGATCCCGACTTAATCGGGACGGGATACGGGATCCTCTGGTAGTTTGACTCGGGATCGGGACGGTATCGGGATTTGGGCAATCGGGATCGGATCATCCCGATCCCACCCTTACTCACGACCATGCAAAGAGGAAACAACTGCTACTTCTTTCTGCCCCCGTTCCGACTTCCAGGCCAACTTCATTTGCCATTAATTGGGGATCGATGAAATATGAGTTGGACTTTTTTTAACCAACAATATGTGTAGTCAAGTCATCATTTTAACAGAGATATAACGGCTAAAGTGACACTAAAAAATCAAAATTGATGTATTTTGAAATAACTAACACAATATTATGTACTCTTTAAGCTATGGGACACAATTTAAGGTGCCATATTAACACATCTCTCCTAATTTTACCCTTTTAAAGCTAAAAATAGGAAAACACTTCATTAAAGCAATTCAGCGTGTAAACACTCCTCTACTCTCTAATCTCAAACAAATGAGAAAAGCTTTCTTACATCAATGACCATTTACCAATTGACCAAATGAGTATCTTCGCTCCCTCTGCAACGGCCATTTCCCGCCATGTCTTGCCTCCAGCTGGAGGCTCTACCCATCTACCGTTCCACTCTCTTCTGCCCTAAACCCAAAGCCCTACATTCCAAGCTCATCCTCAATCCCTGCAAATCTCACCTCCAATCCGAGCGCGGGCTTCAGTTCGATGTCGGCGACACCTTTTTCCGTCGCGAGAGCGCCACCGGTCGTGACCTCGGCGTGCTCTCCGCAGCCCTCCGACGGAATTCAGAGGGCAGTCTCAGAGTTCTGGACGCCATGTGCGGGTGTGGAATTCGATCCCTCCGGTACTTGGAGGAAGCAAACGCAGATTTCGTGCTCGCGAATGACGCGAATGACGCCATCCGGGACATAATTTTGGGGAACCTCTCGCGGGTTTCTAGAGATTCCAGTGAAAGACGGGATGTGACGCATTCAGACGCGACTAGGGTCTTGACAGAGTGTTACTTAAAAAGAGATTATTTCGATTTCATCGATGTTGATTCATTCGGGAGCGATTCCAGCTATCTGCGAGCTGCAGTTGGGGCCGTAAAATTCGGCGGCATGTTGTATGTTACTAACACGGATGGTTATTCTTCTGGGGGTAACCGTCCTCGCCGGTGAGTGTTTAACATCTATCTTTGAAATATATAAGGTCAATCTCAATTCTCAACAATCAACATACATGTTCTTACCTATGGTTCCGCGGCTAATAAGTTATTTTTAGTTATAGCACTTTCATTTTCTCAGGTTTGGTGCACATTCACATTTTTTTCCTGCCACTTTCAATCTTTCTGACCATTCATCGAAAGAAAAACAATCAGAAATCGTATGGAATTTGTTCGGATAAGTGATGCAAATGTTCAAAACTGCAAAACATGCACACCTAAAGTGGAAAAGGAACGTTGGAACCAAAAAAGCAAAATAATCCAATGCAGACTACAGAGTAGTACTGTCGTAGTGATATGGAAAGTGACCTATTTTCTTATTAACATTCATTGTGCTATAGTTACTCCACTCCGACAGTGTTTTTTTTTGTTGTCTTAAGAGAATACATGCTGATGGAGTATTGGAATATATGGGCCTCACCTCCATGAACGGTCCAATGACTACTATATAGAAAGGTGGGGCCTTTTATGGCCGCCCATGAAGCATGTGGCTAATGAGCCGGGACCATGAATAAGGTTCAATGGCTGCTATAGCAAGGGTAGACCATGGGATTTGTCTAGTGTCATTAGGGGTCAGGGCCGTCAGGCTGAAGTTTTGTAGACCACACCAGGTTCCTTTCAAAAATGAAAATGACATTATAGGGATCTAAACAAAAATAAGTTATGTTTGTCAGGATGAAAAAACAAAATTAAGCATATTATATTATATAGTATATATCAAGCTTGATCACGATTAAGAATTTATATACGTAAAGTTGGTAAAGATTGTATATTAGCAGTGTGAAATTATGCCTTGAATGTTTGCAGTTGTTTGGCTGCCTATGGTGCTTATGTTCAACGAATGCCATACTCAAATGAGATCGGGCTGCGAATGTTAATAGGTGGAGTGATTAGAGAGGCTTTGACTGCTGGTCATCACGTTGTTCCCCTTTTTTCATACTACTCCTACCATGGACCGGTCTTCCGAGTGCTCTTAAAGATCAACAATGGGCTGCCTTCTGATCAAAGGCCAGTGATGCTGCTATTAAATTTTTCCTTAGAAGAGTCATGTTAGGGTGAAAATAGGGTTCATCCATGTGTTATAGACTTGTAGTAAAGACAAGGTAATAAGTGGTTGACCCAAAGCTCCGTTTGGTAAGATTTATGCGGTAAAAAAATATGAACAAATAACTATTGCCAAAAGGTTGAATTTGCTGAACTTCTATTAGCATAAGTTTTTGGCAACACCCATTTCAGCCACTTTGGCTGAAGTTATTGAAGATTGTATTTTAGCCTTCTTTCATTATACAGAGTATGTTTTCTATATTTTATCATTATATTATTTAAATACATTTTTTCCATAATTCCACATTTTCAATTTTCATTAACATTTACCACAATTTCTGCAAATTCAGTTATTTCAACCAAATTTACCCTTGTCAGATGGGCTTTTATTCTGCTGACAAGTATAGTAATACAGAACTGTCTTCCCAAGGAAACCCCATAATATTGGATTCACTTTTACAATTATGTAGTAATGCCATTGGTTTTTTTATACCAGACATTATGGCTTCGTCAGCTACTGTGGTCAGTGTGGTGATTCAAGAGCATTCCCCTGGGAAGAACTTGGCAAAGTCAGCTGTTCATGCATTGCAAATGTAGGATTTCACACCTTGAAAGTCAGTGTCTGTTTGGAATTTAGATCGAAGTTTTGGGAGGGGTTTAGAGGAAGCCGTTGTGAAGGTCTTAGCCTATATCTTGAAGTATATTTCAGATTTTATAAATATGAATGGTTCACATAATATGTGATTGCATGACATTAATCACCTATTTTTTGTAATCAAGACACATTCTATTTATAATGATATTGGATAAGCCATCCAAAACCCTCCATCCAAATAGACCCTTAAAGTTATCTCAAATCAGATTCATTTATGCCATTGATGTCTTTACAGGTTCGGGAACATTCTCTTGCTGTTTCAGGACCAGTATGGACAGGGCCTCTCCACAAAGAATCACATCTTAGAGAAATGCTAAACTTAGCCAATGAATGGGGATGGATAGGCAATGACACAGGAAGAGATCTTGAGAAGTTGTTAAATGTGATGATTGATGAGTGTGACCCCAATCTGCCAGTGGGTTACACGAAAGTGGATGAGGTACATCTTACAATTACTAATAGTAGCAATATATATATATATATGAGGGCAAATTTCTTCCTCTTTATCAACTACAGAGTGGACATCCTCTGTTATATAATTTTTTTGTGTATTAGTGCAGATAGCAAGTCGTGCAAAAGTGAATTCCCCTCCCCTCAATTCAATACTGACTTCCCTGCAAAAGGTATATATATATACGCCCAACACCCTCATGATGGCTTACATCGTGCATACCCTTCCATTCCCAACCATCTTTCATAATTTTGCTGAGATGTAATAAATTACAATATGGATTAAGTCATTAAACTCTTTCTCTTGAAGCATCAAAGCAATGGGAGGGGGGGGGGGTATAACAATATGGATTAAACTCTTTCACTCGAAGCATGAAAGGAATGGGGGGTGTAAAATGCCAGTCAGTGAATCCTTTTAGAAATCGTAAAAGCTTTTGTTTTTCCCTGGTGAAGTTTATCGTGATTCTCAGCTCATTGCTTTCGTTAATACCTATCACAGATATTTATTAATGGCTTTCAAGTATATCTTCACAGTGTCTTTTGGTGTGCAAGTTTGGACGCGATGTCACTATGGGTCATCCAGAAACAGTCTCTCCCTGCTTTAGTACAGGGGTAAGACTGCGTACATCCGACCCCCCCTTACCCCACAGTAAGTGGGAGCCTTTGCGACACTGGAGTCTTTTGGTGTGTTAGGTTACAGTAATAAATTCTTGTCCTATGCATATATTTTTCTACGCTTCCTTTTTAATTGATCTTTAATAACCCGATAACCTCCATTTTTAAAAAAATGTTGTTGCTCAAAGGATCCAATATGGCTTTTCCATATTATTTATTTGTTAATAGATGCTTAATATTCTGTTTCCAGAAAACTAGAGAAGTGTTAATTAAAAGTTGCAACAGTGAGTTTTTTGGTAATTCCCCTACATCCCAAATAGCTCCAGTCGAGGTAAAGAAAGTTGAAATGATTGGGAAATAAGACTTTAGAAAGTAAGACTTCAGTTTCATGAGCCACTTCAGTTTTTTATGCAGATGTTGACGGAGATGGACTAGAAGAAAAGGACATTTACATAAATAAATAAAAATCATAGGGACAAAAAAACAAATGTTGTAATTTCTTTTTTCTTTTTTAATTTCAAGCCCATAACAACTTATATGGACAAATGAAGCAAAAACAACTTAAATTCCAGCAATTAAAACTTATTTTTAAGCCTACATACTTGTTTTCCCTGTTCTAATAATATACGTAGTATGTTTATAAAAGCTGTGTGTCCACTCACAGAGAGGGTATACTGCTAGTAGATCACATATTGCTTCCAATGCAATCAAGACAAATTGTCGCATGGGCGAATGTGTACGAATTGTGAAGGAACTACAACAGCCTGGATAAAGAGCAGGTAATTTAGGGCTTGTCACGCGTTTTCTGTTTGGATGTTTCTGGAGCAATACACACACACACACAATGAACAACATCCACATCCTAAAGGTTGCTTGGAGGGATCCTTTTTAGTGTGTGATTGGATTATAAAGGGAAAATGTTAAATCTCAAATACTTGGATAATGGTAGAAAACTAGTAGCCATAACTGGTTCCTCGCATTGAAATGTAACACCACAATTTTTGTATTATGAGTTGATCCAGTTGACTTTCGCTGACCCAAGCTCTGGCATGTTAATCAATTCTAAAAATGTATGCGTTGACACTCCAATGATCTGATGTAAATGTACTTTGATACGGAGTACTACATAATTAATTTGAAAGGTATTTGGGATCAATTTAATGGTACTAGAACTGCATTGTACTTAACATAAAATAATACTAGTAATAACCATAACAGCTATAATAATAAGAATCACCCCAAACATTACCATATACGGAGTATGATATATATGTATACTTCTCCTAAGTAGGACTACTTTTTTTTTATTTCTAAAATAATACTACGAACTACGTATATATTTGGTTGTCAGATAGAAAAAACTAATATGTTTTTATTTCTACTTTATCATACAAATATTAGAATTCATGTTTGAGTAGACGTATTAAGGAGTATGTTTTAGGTACAGTCGCAAAGTTGACATCAAAAGCTGTTGCGTAGTTTATTCACATATAACTATTTATTTAGCAATTAAATTTAAGTTGTAGTACATTAACTGATTATTATGCATCCGTGATAATAAGCACGGGTTTAGCCTTTAGGGACCTGGGATAGACAAGGTCATGTTTCTGAATTGGACAAGGACCGTCTAGTAAGGTGACCAAAACCCAACTCCCATACTATTATGATATCATTATTCATTCTTAGCATTAACCAAAACTTATGTTGTTTTAATACTTATCAATTGGTGGGTGCTCAAGAAAATGTAGTCTAAGACTCCGTCATATGTAAAAAGAAACATGTTGACATCGTTGTTACTTGCAATTGGAATACTTATTAGAAAGATGCATCTTTCCGCATTCTATAGAAGCCACCTATAGATAGATCAGTCCTGCTTAGTGTACACGGCATTGTATACGTCGGTCAAATTGTTTGTACACAGACAATTTGATCAGCGTTTTATGAAGAAAACTGATTTCCACACAGACAAAAACAAAATTTGTCTGTATCACAGACATTTTAAATTGTTGGTGATACAAATAATTTTTTTTCTGTGTGGAAATTGGGTTTCTTCATAAAACACCAGTCAAATTGGCTTTACATAGACAATTTGACCGGCATGTACAATGGCGTGTAGAAACTGTCGTGTACAAATAGAGCATTTTTGATACACAAATTGTGTGTGCATGTATAGAATAGATGTATCTTTCCACTTTCGATAGTGAGAACAACTTTGGGGCAAGACTAGGCATCAACGCTGTCTTGACCCGGTCAGTTCCTGCCTTGGTTATTTCTAAAAAAATAGCGAGGCCCACGATAGGGACTTGTGCTAGGCTAGGCATGGACCGGTTCCGGTTCGGGCCTGGGCCCGGCCGGTTCACGGTTCAGGATATGGGAGGCCCGGAACCGGCCTGGGTAACCCCCGGGTCCGGTTCGGGCCGGGCCGGGCTCGGTCCAATCTAATTTTTTTTTGGCTTCTCCTAATTAACTCCCAACCCTCCCCCCTCACTCCCAAACCACCTCAAATGGCCCAAAATACCCAGCCCAACCCAAAAACTTAAAAAAAAAATTCAAAAAAAATAAATAAATTTGGCCCGGACTGGGCCCGAACCGGCCGGGCCGGTTCACCATTCCTAGGGCCCGAACTGTATGACTAGCGGGCCGGGTCGACTTGAACCGCCCTATGGCCCGATTCCCGGGCCGGTTCAAACAGTGACCGGTCCGGGCCGGTTCCGGGGCGGGCCGCCCGGCCCGAGTCCATGCCTATGCCAGGCCAGTTCCGATCCCTCCACTGACCCCAATTTCTTGTTTATTTTAAAACCCTCCACCCCCCTTCCTACTCCCTACCCATCCCTTTTCAACTTTTAAATGGATCCTACCCTTTTAAAATGACGCCGAAAGTTTGTAATGCAAAAAAAAAAAAAAATGAGACCAAAATCAAGACCGGCTAGAAACCAGTCACAAAAAGTGATTCTGAAGATCGGGACCCCTTTTGGTCTTTCCCATCAGTCTGGTCTCGATCTCGGCTAAAAAATCAATTAGTCTCGTGATTGGTATCTTGTCTGGTGAGGCTAGCGCTGTTATTCGAGCCGAGTCGAGCTCGAGTATCACAAATTCGAACTCGACTCGTACATTTTTCGAGCTTGGCTCGAGCTCGACTCGTACATCTCAAACCTTGACCGGAACACTAATATTACCTTCACGTGACAAAATGAGGTAATAATAATAATTAGAATAATATCATGACTGTGGACTTCCTTTTTAGAAATTGTAAGAATTCTGATGGCAATTTTTGAAACATGTTCCAGATATCACATTATTCACTTGTAAATAGAAAGCTTTCTTATGTATATAGCTCAACCAAGCTAACTTTTATCCTACCTCGTGAAAAAAATCTAATAAGCATTTTGCTACATCAAATAGCACCGTGATATCATATGTATACTAAATTCAAAGAATATATGAGGTGGAAAAGTCATTCGTCTAGGCACTCAATTACTTGTACTGAACAACTTTCTCCCCATCAGATATATTGTCACAACTTAACCATATCTGATTGAGTTGCACCAAAATGTAGATTATAGCTTTTACTCATTTGTTCAAATGCTTCAAGCTCTGCAGCTAACTTTCAAGGGATATATTAACATCATTTGTAACGTGCACTGCCATTTTCCAAGCGTACTAAGGGAATTGATTCATCTTCCTGTGGCTGCATTATTTGCCATAAAATTTAAGTTAGGAAAGTGGGACGCATTAAATTGTCAAGTGTGCTTGAAATGAACTTCATCGTGAACACATATTCTAAAAATTCAGCTAGCCGCCCTTAGAACAGCTTGATTCTAGGTGATCTAGACACCCTACTAGATGCTCTTAAGGGTGTCCTTGGCATGAAGGAATGGGGTGCTGTATGTTACTTCGTTTCGTTTTGTTGAAGAGGAGGGGAGGGGAATAGCTTCTTCTAAAAAATTATGTAGGGTGAGAAGAATAAGAGGAGAGGATGAACTTAATCCGTCTCCTTCCAATTTCTATAACCGAGTGAGGGGAAGGGGAACATTTTCCCTCCCCTCCATTCCTCCAATAATCCCTAACTAAATACACCCATAGAGCCCCTCTGGTTTTCTGCGTAGAAAAATCTTCTTTCAATTCAATGAAATCCAAAGGACATTTTAGTTTTGGACAAAATTTTGATTCGTGGTTCCAAAAACCTACATTAACGAAAAAGTTAACCCATGATGGCTTTTGTGATAGAGAATAAGATACTTCTATTTTAGCCCTTTAAAATTTTACACACCACTCATTAAACTCAATATCTAAAATAAATACAAGTGTCAAAACCACATTCCCACCATAATCCGAATCAGTGCTTAGTGAATTAAGGGCAATGATTGCAGAAAAAAAGAATGTGAAAGATATAGCACCTGAAGTTGTTGGGGCGAATCTTCCGTAGCTTTTCTCTGTGACTCTAGAGTGCAGTAATAAGAGTAAAGAACCATGCCAATCATTGCAATCAGGATCCCGAGAATATTCCTCCAGTTAAATGGATCACGAAGTAGGACATAACCAAATGCTAATACCAGACATGTTTTAAGATGCCCAAGAACCTGATAGGTGACAGGCGATGTCTTTCCAATCACAAGAAATGTGCTAAAGTTAACAGAAATTGATATCAAGCAGGACATAACAATGAATCCCTGAAATATTGAATATGGAGTATTAGATCTGAAAATTATTGCTCAAAGATTTAGTAAAACACTGTAAAATTTAGACTTGTGTGTACTGTGTACCAGCACTTGCGGAGTATATTGGAAAGCAAACACATTCTGGTTGGTCAAAAACTTGTCCAGAAATGGCCCGGAAACAAATAGAGTCATCGCTTGATAAGGACATGTTTGATACAACAGCTGCGTTGAGGAGACCTTAAACTTTTTCTGGATGGTATTTGTCATCTGAATGAAATGTGTTAAGAACTACTTTCCAATGAATTGTTACAGTACAACAGGAGCATGTGCACTTGTGCCTATAGTCTAAAACATAGCAAAATGAAGATAAAAAACATATTACTTTCTTTTAAATTTACTTTTAATCATAATGGTCAAGCATCCCATTTAGCAACCAATAGAAGAATGTAAAATGACTAAGTTACCCTGCCATATTAGTTTTGATTTTGCATGTTACTTTTGAGGCCAATGCTACTCATAGCACTTAAGAGTAAGGGCGTTGTTTATGGAATCAAAGGAGGTAAGTTTTTATAGGATTACAAAATATATTCATTGCGATATGTAGAAAGTACATTGATATGATTTTTAATTAGACATTCTAACTTTAGTTTCTTAACCATTTGCATAAGAGCTTTGGTTAGCATGATTCTACTTTTAATGTCAACAAATCAATAGAGTATGCAATTTTGTATGAAAACTATTGTTGGATGGCTATAAATGAACGGAGGGAGTAAGAAATGAGTCGCTACAGACCACAAAAAGTGTAGCAGTCAAATTTAATGGCCATAATGGATGGTAATGGATGCACATACTCTGAAATGTCAAAACAAGTTTCTACTCTGCAGTCTGCACTGGACAATATCAGGCTGAGAACTGAGATCTACAAATATATTACATAGAAATATAAAATATTTCAGGCTTAATAAAATATAGAAGCATGGAACAAGTGAAATCCTGATGATGCATTTAAGAATCAAGAGAAAAAAGATGATATCAAGTCATCATGACCACTAACACTGAATGAAGAGTTGGCAATTTAAACTGGCAATACTGGCATGTATATATTTGTTTAAATTGATGTTAAAAGAACATACAAGGATTATAAAGTACACATAACCACAGCAAAGGATACAATTTGTGCAATGCAAGTTGTGAGTACTGCAAGGAGTGACAGGATAGAGCCCAGGACATTGAGTTGCAAATCAGTAACAGTTGCGACTCCAACACCGAAAAGTAAGATGAATAGAGAAAGCTGAATGCTCCTACTGTAGTTACAACAAGTGCAATTATTTGTCAGAACTAGGAAAGGATAAAGCAAATTATTTGTTAAACAAAAGGAATGTTTCACTCAGTATGGAACAACAAATATAGACGTGTATGTGTTTGAATGGGAGAGAGAGGGGGTGGGGGGGGTGAAAGAGAGTGATGATCGCACATTCTTTTTGAAGACTTGAAGAGTATTTTATAAGTAAATAGTAATTAAAGTTATGCAACAACTCCACACACACAAACCTGGGGGTGAGGTGCATTCTTAATTACTATGATATAGAGAATCATATAGAATTATATCCACAAGTAACGCTATCACGGTATCACCTATCGGCACATCTGATTCTCCACTTGGATGATATTTAGGAGATAGAATAATTATTTCATCAACCAATTTAAATAGTACCACATGATCAGTGATCAAATACTCCCTCCATTTTTTAATTCTTCGATGTCTTAGGCTTTTGGATTTGTCATTTATTAGTTGATGCTTAAACAAGATCTAATGAGAAATGGAAGCTTTTAATTTAATTTTTTATAGTCCCAATTCCACATTTCTACAAAACCTTTTTTTGCATATTGATATACCTCCAATACACATTTTAACTATTACAACAACAACAACATCCAAGCCTTAGTCCCAAAACATATTGGAGTCGGCTAACATGAACCGATACACAATATCAAAGGTAGAAAGAAAAGAAAGATAAAAAGATAATGTATGATAAAAAAGATAAGATAAAGATAAACATATTATAAAGATAAAAATCATAAGATAGAAAGGATAAAAAGAATATATATATATATATATATATAGATTTAGGATCACATACAAAGTGATCCTACTTTACAAAATACAAATTAATCCTAGCCATCCATATGAATGAGGTAATGGTGTAGATGGAAATAATTCCCCACTAACCATATATCCGCATTTAATGCTTGGAGGATCAAAATCTCTCCCACTAATACGGATGAAATTTAGTGGGTCAAACCGAATCTTGCCCTTGATTTTATAATATTGGATGGATGAGTTTGCACTTTGTATGGGAAGCATACTTTGTATCCGATCTTAACCCTATATATATATAGAGGAATGATCCTGTCCAGCCGGAGGGACAGGATCCTCCGTCCGGCCGCCGCCGTTTGGGGCGGTTCCCGGTGGAGTTTTTTGATGAAATTTTTATGGAATGTTCCTCATCAAGTCTAGTTTATCCACAAAAAATTTCAGCTAAAAATTCGATCGGGAAGGCAGTCAAATAATTTGTTGAAGATAACTGCGCCAAATTAAACATATAAAACGCAGTTATGTTTCAAAAAATTATTTGACTGCCTTCCCGATCAAATTTTTAGCTGATTTTTTTGTGGATAAACTAGACTTGATGAGGAACATTCCATAAAAATTTCATCAAAAAACTCCACCGGAAACCGCCCCAAACGGCGGCGGCCGGACGGAGGATCCTGTCCCTCTGGCTAGACAGGATCTTTTCCGTATATATATATATATATATATATATATATATATATAAAGCATAAAAGGATAAAGAGCATAAGAAAGATAAAAAGATAAAAGGAGAAAAAAGATAAACATGGACAAACAAAAACAAAATCTTCATGCATCCTTTGCTATATCCTAATACATCATATAATAATAAAATGGAGGGAGTGTACATAGGCAAAACAATTCCTCTAAGTAGTTCAAAATAGCCTCTGAAACACTTGAATCAGGCATATGGAAAGAGCAGATGAACTTTGTTCAAGATGCCTGAAATGTAATAGACTGACCTAAACTTTTTGCTCAGGAAAAGCGTCTCTAGTAGAACAGTGCAAGGGATGATGGCAAGCTTTGTCATCTAAGATAAAAAGTTGTAGAAAGGTTGTATTAAAAACAGTATGGAGTATACTGGACCTTGCATTAGAAGCAAAAAGGGAGAATATTGAAGACATTAGGTAATACCTGATAGAAACCCACAGAATTGAAACCAAGGCTAAGGTTCAGCAATCCAATTGAGATCCCATTAAGAATACCAAATCCAATCACAGTTCTTGAATCAAAAGACTTGTGCTCAAACAGTTTCATCAAGAGTGCCACGTGGAGGGAACAAAATGTAACTAATAAATGCCAGCTTGTCAAAGTCGTAGCTGTGTAATAAAAGAATAAAATGTAAATTTCATCTTAGAGGTTGATTAATTTATCTATTTCCCACTTCAGAAAAAAGATAATAACAACTACTAGAACGCCATTCTACAAAATCAAAATTAAAGCCAACATTTATGCCATTCATTAATGATAGTGTATGTAGGCATTTTTCAGATCTCAGAAAAATGACTATTTTGCGCCGAACTAGAAATGACATCACAATCACAATTAAGTTTTAAATTGAATCATGAGCCACCTCTTCACAACCTATCAAGTATAAATAACAAAAAACTCTATAAACTTACGTAAGTACAAATGCATCATCATTAATTATGGGCATTCTACCATTCCCAGAAAATAGCTTACGTGTTTCTCTTTGTCAGTTCCTACAATTTTTTGCCAAACTCAGAATTGCCTAAATGACATCACAATCACAAAGAAACCTTTAAAGCGAATCAGGAGCCATCTCGTCACAGCCGATATCAAGTCTAAATAACAAACAAATACTTGTAAAAGTTTGTAATACCACAGCCAATATTTTTGTTGTGGTCTATCTCCCTTAATACTTTCAAGTAAAACAACATTAACATTAATTATCAGCATTCTGCAATTTCCAAAGCGAATAGCATATACTTTCAAAAGTTTGTAATGTTGCAATCAAAATGAAAACGAAAATGAAAACGAATTACTCCGTCCAAAGAAACTCTAAGGCAAATCACGAGCCACCTCTTCCTAACCGATATTAAGTCACAATAACGATATCCAAACCTTATTTCCAGAAGAGCTCGGGGTCGGCTAACATGGATCGACATATGATAAAAAAACGTATTAATCAGGTAAGCCACCTTACTTATGATATTTGTCTGCCTACCGAACTTTTAGAGAATCACATAAGCTAAGTATATTCTAACAAATTTTCCACTGAAAGGATAACTAATACGTCACCAACACATACTTTAATTCATACAAGTATATAGACAAAGGATATTCATGTTACTTATACAGATTCTAAAGTATCCAGAAAATGAATATCAGTGGTATCTTTGTCTATTGCATCTAATTTTTAGCCACCTTCAGAATTACATAAACTGAGTAGAGGCTAACATTTTTCTACTAAAAGTAGTAAGGAGAGCCGTTAAACTGACTCACCAAATTTGAACCGTAGAGTGCTCATAAGCGCCTTATTGCAAATCACAATCGACACCGATGAAATCACTGAGAGGCTCAGAGCCCCAATGGTGCCCAACTGAAACCGCTTGTTCTCATTCATCCTTTCAGCCCCGCCTCCTACATCCAGATCCAAACAGACATAATTTTACACAGTCCAAACGAGATTACGATAAAACTTCCTGAAATTCGGTAAAAATCCGCACCTGGACGCACTGGAAATGACATAATCAGCCGACAGACAACGGTATCTCCAGCTCAAAGTTTACGCTTCCACGCAGATCCAAAACTGATGCAGTGTCCGAATATATCTACAAAATCGCAGAAATAATCAGACTAGGGCAAAACAAGCGTGTTTAGTCAACTACAGTTTGGTGCGGCAAGTTGCACGTGAATTGATTGATAATTGCGTGAAGATCAGTCAAGAGTGAGAAGGGGGGAGTGGGAGGTGACGCAGGGAGGTGTTCGGCGTCTCCATCACCGTTGAACGCGGTCGCACGATCAAACAATATAGGAAAATCCGGAGAGTGGATCACAGTCTCCGAAATGCGCGTGAGGATTTTGGCGCCATCGAATGAATTCAGTATCTGTAGATGCGAAGATTGTGAAGCATCTGAAAACAGAAGCGAAACAGTTACGATTGCATGTTTATCTGCTACCCAATCATCAACATTTTACTCCCCTCTTTCAAATAGTTAAGCGACCGAATAAATAGTTAAGTCTATTATTTCGTTTCTAGAATTCCATGTTTAGTTACAGGAGGAATGCTTTGAAAAATGCTTACAGTTTAGTTTCAAGGCAAAGTTTTGAGCAGACATTTTAAAAAAAATGCTTTGTATAGGAATAAAAATGTACTCCCTCCGTCCCATTTTACATGTCCTACTTTCCTATTTGGGTTGTCCCAAAATAAGTGTCTTCTTTCCCCTTTTAGAAAGAAATATGTGGCCTACATCATTTCACTTTATTATACTCAAACCTCAACCACAATTTTTACTTTTTCAACCACTTCATTAATAAAAGTGCCAAGTCAAACTAAGACACATAAAATGGGACGGAGGTAGTATTAGAATTTCAAAACACAAGTATATTTTGTTGTCTAAATAAAAATAATTACTACTCCGTATCATACTTGACATATACCAATTACAACGAATTATAGCAACACGACAATATACTATCATGTGTAAAATATAGTAATGTTAAAATAAGATGCTAAAATTTATTATGACAGTAATCCATTTCTATTTAGAGGAAACATTTATTATCCTTTTTTTGAAAATTTACGTTATTTTTATTCCTATTTAAGAAATTTAGCGGCATATTCTTTAGGGAAAATAGTGAAAGACAAACGACAAGAAGAAAGAGAAAAGGGATTAGCGAGTAGTGGAAGAAAGAAACGAAGTGTATTGTCAATTATAGCTACCATGTTGAGAAATATAGAGAAATACTATGTAAAAACACAATGGGGGAGGGGGGAAATTGTGGGAAAACAAAACAAAATGAGGAGTCACATGAACAATACTAGAAGAAAATATACGATAAAATTATGATCAATTGTAATATTTGCATTATCTAAGTTAAAAAATTCTGGGTTTCACCAAATATCGCCACCAGTGCCGGCCATAGGGGTAGGCACCTAGGCCATTGCCTAGGGCACCACTTCCAATGGGGCACCATTTTTTAAAAACAAAACTAGTATTTTATATATATTACGAGTAATTAATTCATTAGCATATGACCATTGGCATCCATTCCTGGAGCGGCATGCCGGCATGCAGGTATGAGAGTAGAAAATTGAGGGTATTTTCTAAGAATATGAGATTTTTGGGCAGACATGGCCAAATTGCGGGGGGTTTTGACCTGTTTCTGATAAAATGGGAAACAGTACTAGCAGACCTGATATGTCAGAGGATAATAATGAAGATTACTGGTATTTTAAAATGTACTACGAAGTGATTTTAGGAGTGGCATAATGGAGATTTAGGAAAGGATAATACGAAGCATGCTAAAACTAGCTTTAACCATATTCAAGATTGGTTTTTAATTTAAAAGTGACTAATCTCCAAAAGTGAGTACAAAAATTATGTCTACGTTTAGTTCTATATAATAGGTGTGAGTAGACCGATTTTTCAGCCCTAAACTAATCATTTTTTGGTGGAATTGTTTGAGATCTTTTTGTGTGAATTTCTTTGATGAAAATTCATGAGCATATTCTCTATGTAGTGTAGATCATGTTCATAAATTCAAGTTTAAAATTCAATCTAGAAATTTGTTAAATTAAATACATTATCGAAAAACACCACTACCTCTGTCCTCAATCTATAATTATGTGATTGATAATGAATTGATAAAGTGAGAATAAAGTAAGAATGAATTAGAACCACACAAATGAATTAAAGTAAAAAACTTTGAATACAATAAGAATAATCTCATTGGTCATTTTTTGTCTAGGGCATCAAAACTGCGAGAGATGGCCCTGCTCGCCACACTGCCTCGACCCAAGGACGAAAACATGCACTAGGCGAACAGATTGAACAACACCGACATCAGCAAGTTTCGTTGTTCGCCCGTGTCAGTGAAACCTCCACTAATATAACCACTCTATCAGCAACAGTGCACATAGCAAACTCAGTCTCTAACTTGAAAATAACAGTGAGAGTTGTAGAGGGTGGAGTAATATCATCCAACTAATACCAAAGAGAAAAAAGTGCATATGATTGGGATAACCAACTCGGGTGTCAAGTATGATTGGGAAATATGTATAGGAAATAAAATTGAGACAAATCACACGTCAAATATGAGCGGACACTTGACAACATGTAGGTCGAATATGACTGAGATAACTCATATCTCAAATATGAGTAAACAACCCCTAGATCAAATGTGATAAAAAACACATTGTTGGCCAAATACTGAAAGTGTGGCTACCTTGTAATCCAATTACACGAAGGCATTGTTTCCGCCAATTTGAATTCCAACCACCCGCCCCTATATGCCATTCCATCTGAAGCCTTGTATGAAGGAAAAGTGTCACTCGGTTGGAGTCATCTCATGAGGTTTGTCCACCTCGATTTTTATGTGATCACATAATGAGTCTATGCCACCAAGTCACTCTTTTTATAGTCAATGCACTTGGTAGCACATCTAGTTTATGAGTTGGTGCCACACAAGTCACGTTCTTGTGTGGAGTCATGAGCTTCACTTTTACTTGCGCACTACCATCGAGTAGCAAATTATTTGATTCGCTTGATTAAATTAAACCAAGGATTTTCCCGTTGGGTATGCGGGTCTCATATTTCCCTCGCAAAATAATAAATTGTTCATATCAACTTCAAAACCTAGTACCTAATCCGTGTGATGTCTAATAGGTTCAAATCTATCTACATATGTGGATCCTAATATCCTTGCCAATAAATGGTAGTATGGAATGTGAGGAGCTCAAGATTGGTGAAAAAATGGACCCCAAGATATACTGTCCATGATTAGTGTCGTTGATTTTTTATCGGGGCGCCGATAATCATCAAACATCCTACCTTTTCCACCAAAGCAACGAGAGACACCGCATATTCAGTATTAAAATTTTTCACTTTTGCCATTGACATGTTGGATATAGAGTATTAAAATTTTCCAGTTTAGTCATTCAATAATTATTATGAAGGAGGCCATTTTGTACCTTTTTGTTGGAGATCACTATTATATTATTTATACTAGTATGTATGTTGTTTAAATTATTTTAATGTTGAAATATTGAAACATGAGGAGTATTTATAACATTTATTCAGAATTGAATAAGACACAAGTTTTTGTTAGTATTTTGTAATTAATCTTATTAATTATTTTAGTATATCACTAATAAAACCAATTTTGTATATTTTATTTGTTTACACCATACTAAAGTTCAAGTATACATAATATATTATCAATATCGTACATTTATTGTATCTTTAATCTATCAAAATTTCTTTATATACCGAATCTTATTATTCCGGAATTTTAGGAAGTAACAATATGTATTTTGACACACTGAAAATTTTCAATACGATAATGATATGAGATAAAATATCTGATGTACCGTATGGAACTACGGCAAAGATGACTTGTTAATATTGTTAATTTGGAGGCCTGTTTTAATATTCCCTATTTATTTTGTGCCATTCTTTGATTTATTTTCAGATATATTCGAATATTATATGTTCTGTAACAACTATTCGATTTAACGACCTTGAAAACGGGTCGAGTCAAACGCAGAATTCATTTTCAGCTTGCCTTCGGGGCCAACCGGCCAAGGTATCATTGCTTTTCATTTTTCCGTAACTTCACGAGAGGAGAAATTTGATCTTTCACCATTCGTCGGGTCTGTGCATTCTTCAATTTATATGAATTTTGACGGCTAATTTTCGGCAGTGCAGCTTAGATGGAGAGCTCTAAAGATCTATGTAACAACTTGGGAGATGGTGATTGCAGAGTGAATATCAGCACCGCTAGCGGCGTTCCGTCGACGTCAACGGCGCCTGGGGCGAGCTCTTCTCTCGCAATCGGCAGGCAACCCCCATATCAGCTCATGGCCGGTCGTGGTATAGTTAATGAGGCTAGCTCCCTTTTTATGCTATTCTCGATTCGAAAGGAATTTGCACTTATTTGTTAAAGTACTCGTATATTGATGGACTGTGCTATATAAGCAGACTCTAACTTTTCTCGAAACTCATACTCCGTATATTGATAGACTGTGTTATCTACGCAGACTCAACTGGTTCTCTAATTTAGTAATCTTGATGTTTATCGGGGTTCTAGTTCTACCCTTGTCATAGTAGACACTGCTTGAATGAACTTAGATGAATTATATTAATCAACTTTTTCTGGTGATGGGAAAGCCTCTATGAGCTGAGAAGTTTTCTTGGGCTACTTGTAGAACATGGAAAGTGGTATGAAAAAATGTTAAGAAATAATGACAAATACATGACTATAATGAAGTCATTAGACAAAACTGTGACTTTGATACTTTAGTGACAATAATATTTACTTGAGTGACCATGATTATGATCAATTTTTTGGTGTAGAGATCGTGACGCGTAGTCAAAGTAACTTTGCCTCATTATGTCAATAACTCTTATATCAGTAATATTTAAGGGAAAACATTTTTTTAGTGGTTGTTCTATTTTGCAGTCTTTGCTTAATTGAAATATACAAATAAAATAAGTTTGGAACAATTTTTTGTTCCAAATTAATCTTTCCACATTTCCTTCAGTCACTCCTGTTCCATATGGACCCTTGAAGATAATCAATCATCAATCATCATTTACCCCAGTGCCGCAAAGGCTCCCACCTACGGTGGGGTAAGGGGGGTCAGATGTACGCAGTCTTACCCCTGTACTAAAGCACAAGGACAAAGAGACTGTTTCCGGATGACCTATAATGAAAATCGCGTCCAAAATTGCATGGACTGACTGCTGCTTCATAACAAAGAAGTGCAAACAGTTTGGTGAGCCATTTTGCTTTATTCCATCATATTCTTAAGCCAAAAAATAATGAATCTTTGGCTCCATTGCAAATGATGGAAAACATATGGACCCTTGAAGATAGGGCATGAAATTTTATTGGCTCAATGACCTTTGGGAAAGGGAAGGAACGGAGGATGGAGTAGGGGGTGGGGCGGTGGGGGTAAGGATGAGCATCAATACCCTTGTTATGTAATATTGTAATGTTGTTTATATGCGTTCTGGTGAATGATGTAGCAACAAGTGGTATTTGTGCATGTTCTCTAATGCTCTTTTTTAAAGCCTTTCTATACATTTTTCTCCTAAATGCGAACTATTTGACTGCATTTGTTTGAACCACTATTAGTTTTGAGTATTGAAGAAGGTTCAGAGTACTTTTTTGGTTGAAAAGAAGATAAATGATCATGTACCCCCCCATCTTCAAGATGGTATGGAGAAGCTTATTCGACACACTTAACCACAATTTTAGGCTTTTAGCGAAGCCAGCACATTGCCTTGTACTTGGAGAATGTTTATTCACATTTTTTATTTTTTGAATATTTTAATTGATGATGATCTCTAATATATAATAATATAAAGATGCAGAAGTAGCTACGTGGAGGCAGTTGCGTACCTTGTTTGGCATGATCATTGTTGCTACTGTTGCTTGGGCGTTGTTTGAACACTCAGGGTTACCATTCTTATCAGTCTGTTCTGATGTCTTTCTCATCTTGACCATACTCCTCTTCCTCCGGGCAAATTTTGCTGCTTTTAGAAAAAAGTATGGCCACTCTTTATTTACATCTGTATGTTTGATGTAAAGCCATTTTAATATCATTATTTGTGAAAAAAATGAGATTTTCCCATGCTAAATTTCACAGACAACTCCAAACATTGCCTGAATTAGTGTTGACAGAGGAAATGGTCAACAACGCTGCTGCTTCTTTTCGTGCCAAAATCAACTATATGTTGCTTATGGCTCACGATATCACTCTGGGGAAAGATTTCATACTCTTTTTCAAGGTCTGCAATCTTATACACACACATACATACTCCGTATATAAATATATAAAACTTGGAGATTGTTCTACTCGCCATATGACGTGTGTGCTTCCGTCTGCCACAAATAATTTATATTTATTAGGGGTTGTTTGGTAAGGGATTTTATATCCAATGAAGAAAAAGTGCCTCACAGTAATTCATGTGATACTGTGTGGGGCGAATAATTTCCATGTATTGAGACCTTCTTGCTAAGGGTTTTATTTTAGATGAGGGAAAATTGCTACTCGCCGTGTATCATGTGCGATTTCCCGTCTGCTGTAACTAATATCTTGTGGCCTATTTGGTAAATGTTATATTTGGCTTAAATGACTGAATATTCTTAAAGGCATCTTGTAACTTAAATGGCTGATATTTCTGAAAGGGATCCATTCTAACGAAATAAGCCAAAAGCTAATAGTTCTGTTAATAAGCAAATAAGACAAATAACAATGCCAAATGGATCATTAAATTAAAAAAATGATGCCAAATGGATCATTAATCTGCATTTTATTTGTTTGATTGATGAGTGATGCTAGCTTAGTTTCTAAACAAACTTTAAACTATCCTACATAATGTGTAATATGCAGGCAGTGATCTTTCTCTGGCTTCTGTCTGCCGTAGGCACTATGGTGTCATTCTTCACAATTGCATATATAGGTATATGTGGACGCTTTCTCTGTTACTCACCCTTTTATACTTGAGGCCCTTGGTAAGAGTCATTTGTCTGATGGGCTGAGAATCTGCTGAATTTTCTGGAGAAGTGTTAGGTAGCATATGTTTCATGTTAAATGGCTTCGATGTGAATCTGCCGACCCCAAAATCTTTTGGGATTAAGGCTTCGATGTTTTTTATTGTGCTTTTCTATTGATAAGCATTATAGGCAGAAATTATGGCTGCCAAACAGGACCCTATTGTCTCACTGATTATTTCGGGGGGTATTTTTCTGCCCCTTGTAATTCCTAGAGGAATTCTTTTTCTTCTTATTTTATTTGATACTACTTGATTGCTTTTCTCATAAATACTGTGAAACATTTCAGGAAGCATCATATTCATCGTCTTCCCTGCTCTGTACAATAGATTTAAAGACCACATAGACAGACACTTTTCTAGACAGTATAAAGTCGTGGATGAGAGTCTTAGCAGATTGCCTCAGAATATAGCCAAGGACAAAGATATTTGAATTTTGTGCTTAGAAGTTACTATCTCTTAACTCATTTCTTTGCCCATGATGTACTTCCAGAAAAAATGTACAGAACCATGTAGGTTACCACTCAACTTTTTTGTATTTCTTCGCAAAAAAAAAAAACAAAAAACAAATTGTACTCCGTATTTGATTTTTATATACTTCTTTAGGGCTAAAGACAGTTATGAAAAATAGCGGCATGCTTATCATAGACCCCTTAAGAGCATCTTTAATGGGAGGCTTTCAACATTAAAAAAATTGTGACACATGGCAATACATGTATGGAATGTTTAGCCATGTAGGATGAATGTCAATACTTCAACTCCTAAAACAGCCAAATGCTTCTCAATGCATTCCGTTGATGTCTATCAGCTTTGTAAGTGGAATGTATTTAATTCAAATTAATAAAATGGAAAACTAACTTCTTCAAAACAAAAAAATAGAAAACTAATTAAAACCCAGCAGTTTTCCTTCACGTTTGCTGACTTAGGCAGTCAAGGAAACTGTCGTCAGAAGACATTCATGAAGACACTGTCTAAATTAATTTTTTACAACTCAGCATCACATGAGAGTAAACATAATGCATTGGACACTAAAATTTTACCGTAATGTTAAAGAAGCATGACATGGATTGTTTTTTTAATGTTAAGGGTGTCCGACTGGAGATGCTCTAAGACACTGATGCTGTTGAAGCATAGTTGTTGATCGTGGCCTTCGTGGTATTTTCATGAACTTAAGTTTTGTTTAATTTGGAGTATATTTTGAAGTTATTCAAAGTTGCTTGTCGTACCATGATAAAAAAAAAAAGTTGCTTGTCGTACTATGCCATGAACTCAATCCCTCTTTACCCATAATTACGTTACACTTCAAATGTAAACCATTAAAATTTAGATTTAGTAAAAAAGAACTTCGAGTGTAACATATCAAACACACAAACGACTTTTTGTTTACAAACTATTCCAAGACGTTTTTTAGTTTTTTTTTTACACATTGTCCATTTATTAAATTTAACTACCAAGCCAAATAAAACATTACATGAGGGATGAGGCCCAAATAAAACTTGATAGATAAACTTGCAGAAAAAGAGTCTCTCTAGACAATGCCTAATTAAGGGCTTAAGGCCTTTCTTGGATAAATGATAAATCACACGGAGTGCAAGGACATTAATCAAAGTAGACCTACAAAGTTTAATTCATTTATTGACGGAAAAAAGATCCTAAAACAGAAAAGCATGAAACTTTATAAAATGAACCCTTAAAATGGATCCATACTAGGAATCATATACAAGTATGATAGCAGTTTTTTGATAAGCAACTTCAAACTAAAACTGATATGAAGTTCAACACTTAAACCTATCTTCCTGATGTCTGACAGTGACAACTCAACCCTTCTTCAGGTTCACATATCCGGAACCCAATCCAAGTGGTTCTAGAGAGAACAACTGAAAATGTCAGTTCTGACGAAGCTCATCTGCCGCCTTCAACCAAGCATCATAGATTTCATCTGAGAACAAAACAAAGTGAACCTGCAAATAGAAGCAAACTATTTGGTCTTCCGATTAAAAGGTGTCATATTTGTAATACTGATTTTAGTATTAAAACTGTTTTTTTTCAGAGACGGGAAGTAGTAAAAGATTTTCTGACAGGGCTCATATTGCATTTCCTGGGGATAGATGGGGGATATCTTAAAAATAATACCTCTTTGAGACCACCTCCATGCTCTTTAACGGTAGTTACAGCCACATTTGCAGCCTCATCAAACGGATACCTGGATTAATTTGTGGGACCCAAATTAGATACTACTACTTCCATTCCGCTAAGATTGTCTCATCTTTCCTTATTGGTACATTCCACTGAGATTGTCTCCTACCAAGTTTGATAAAGTTTGTGTGGTTCTAAACCATTTTTACTTGTTTTTTACTTTATCAATTCAATATCAACCACATAAACCTATTTTTCTTAATAACCACACCTCCTACTCATGTCCCAATGTTAGTGGGACGGATGTAGTAATAATTTAAAGAAAAGAGTATAAAGTGAACAACTATTTTTGCAATTTGTAGATGAAACCTCAAATCTTAATACTATGTCTATTTGTACTACCTTTGGATCTACAGTAGAAAAGAATCCAGCTCAGGCTTGGGAAGATGGGCAAATTAAAATGTCACTGCCATTTGATAAAACTAGTCTAGAACTTATTTCATTCAAAAGGATTACATAAATTGATAAATAGGTAGTACAATTTAAGCTTTTGAAAATCTCAATGGCGTATCACAAACTACTTTGATCCATAAAAAAAGATAAGAACTCTTAATTTGCAATGGACAGACACAGGTTTCATAGTCCAAATATTTTGTAGATTGGTAAAAACTCACCCATAGACACCACATGATATAGCTGTAAAGGCAATATACTGGATGCCATTTTCTTTAGCAACACGTAAGCAGTTCCTGAAACGATAGGATCATAGGACATAGATAATAAAAACTCAGTTAAGTGGGAAGATAAAGTCTTACCATATGTTTGGATATCAGAAAATACTAGGGAAAGGACAAATTACGCTAAGGAAAATTATTCTCATATGTATGGATTTAGGGGGTGTTTGGAACTGATTCTGCTTCTGCTTCTTTTTTAAAGCAAAAGCAGAATCAGAATCAGTTTTCAGAAGCTGGTCACCCCCAGCTTCTAAAAAAACTGATTCTAGGAGTAAAAAAGTGCACCAGAATAACTTCTGCACTTTCACCCAAACACTCCAGCTTCTACTTCTGCTCCCTCAGGAAGCGGAAGCAGAAGCAGTTTTAAGAATCAGATCCAAACACCCCCTTACTTTGGAAAATACAAAGTAAAAAGAACAAACTGTTATGTCCTTATAAATAACCAAAGAAAATATGTTTAGAGAATTATGAAAAATATAAAATTGAGTTTGAGTGATACTCCAAGATTTTTTTTTTGAAAACAGGTGGTATTTTGTATTTGGGGGAAAATGAAGTCCTTATAAAAAGTGGAACGAAAATAAGGAGTATCTTTTATTTCCCCCGAAAATTTCGTTCCTTCCACTTTTCCTCTCTTTTTCGTCCTTACTTTCCTTCCCTAATATTTTCGGGATCCATATGGTCATACGGAACCTTAATTTGTGGGGGAAACAATACCGTGATCACTTAAACTACAAAATGAAAACTTAAAACAGTACCTATATGAATTTTCCAATGCAGTTTTAGGATCAGGGTGTTTAAAATGTATGGGTCCCACAGTATGAATCACGTGAGAAGCCGGTAATTTAAATCCTCTGCATTTTAAGCCAAAGCATGTCATATATACTCAGTACATATACATACAAACATGCACATAGACATCGAAACAATGCTTGGTGAGTATAGCAATTGTTTTAATATGACATGAAAGCCTAAGGTTGATAAATAGCATACGGTGTAATTCTAGCTTCGCCAGTGGGGCAACGAATAGTTCGACTAACTTCTGGGACTTTAAAGCATGCTTCTCTTAGTTCAGGACCAGCAGCTTTATGTATGGCTACATCATGCAACGAATATTTATTTAGTAATTAGTATAAAAAATTGATACATTACAGTCTAAAGTCTACCTCCATCAGCTCCATAACCCCCAAGCATTTGCTCATTTGCAGGATTTACCTTTAAGAAGACAAAGACAATACAAATTTGTAAACTCTAAAGGTTACACAAAACTAATACATCCACAATGAGAATTTAAAGAACTGAATTCATATTCTTGTTAAGCCTTAAAGTCTACTACTATCCCCCATTTCATTAAAATGTCAACTTAATCATCCAAATTTTTATAATTTCCAGCTGTGAATGGAGTACTAGAAATAAAAAAACGATGGTAATTAAAAATAACTTTTGACCTTGAGAAAGTTTTATACACCCAGTGGCTTGGAAAACAATTCCAACAGGTATGGTTAGAAGCACCGGAAAAACATAGGAAACAAAATTTTGAGAAAAATGAAAATGTGCTTTAACTTAATAAATTAATTATTAACTCAGTATATATTTGTATATGGTCATTTTATTTATTCATATCCATTACTCACTCCGTCCCACTATCTTTATAGCATCTTTCTTTGTTTGTCCTTTCCAATAAGTTTGTCCCATAACGAATATGGTAATAATTGTGTGGGTCTAAATAGTTCTTCATTCATACTTACAAATTCAATATGAAACACCTAAACTGAATTTTATTAAAAAACGCACCATCTTCTCATGGGACAGTCGGACAGAGGTAGTATATAAATATTGAGAAATCCAAATATGCATTAAAAGAAATTCAAAATAATTATACTTTATTTTCTTTGTTTTATAGGGGAAAAGGTAACCTGATAAAATAACTTTTTCTAGCACAATTGTCAAGGTTGCAACCTAGGTTATCTACTCGGTGAGTACTCGGCGAGTACTCGCTGAGTACTCTCTACTCGGCCTCTTACCTTGCAGAGTAGCACCTTAACTCGGTCCGAGTTAATTTTCCGAGTTACTCGCCGAGTACTCGGCGAGTTAGTCAACTCGGTGAGTTAGTCAAATTGGCGAGTACTCGGCTATTACTCGGTATTAAAAAAAAGACATGTGCAAACAAAACCTATGAAATTAATCGCTACTGGTCATCCGTTTGTACTTTGGAGCTTCGACTACTGATGCTACATCATTTGGATCTGTAAATGCTACTGTGAGGAGAATGATACTGCAAGGAGCTGTGAGTGCTACAGTGCTACGTCAATTGTTAAAAAGAATAAATTTCTTAGTTATTAAGTTTTCCGTTGTTACTTGTTAAAAAAAATAAATCAATCACGTGATTATCCAAACTACTGTAGCCGCAATTTTTTACTATAGAATTTCAAGCTGCTAAGTTTCTTAGTTATTTAGTTCCTTTCATATTAAGCTTTCATTTTTATATTAATATTTCCTTGGCAGTGTGTATGTTTGGAACTTTAGTCAGAATTGATATCACCTCTTTCGTATATTCCCCTCTCCCTTGTCTAATTTCTTATTATCTCCCCTCCTCTCCTTCATGATAAATACACATTCACAAAATCTTTTAATTTATAGTCATTAACTTTGCTCAGTCTGCGTATAGACTCGTAGATATTGATTTAGATGACCCGGAAGTGGAAGAGGAAGAATAAGTGTGGAATCTGACAACTAAAGATCTATTTGGAGAAGATCTATTTGGGGACATGGAGGATGGAAGAAGGAAATCACAACCTTGAACCCAACGAAGATTAATATCAGACCAACTTATTAGATGATTGACTGCTTTATGACTTTTGCTTTATGACTTTTGCTACTCCATCATTAGGATAATAGGATTTCTATCTTTTTATTCACTTCTATGCATATTAAGACAATTTAAAGACTATTTTTAGACTATTATATTTCTATAATCTCAGGCACCTATATTATTATATTTAATTAATACATGACCGAGTAATCACCGAGTAATCCCGAGTAACCGGTCCTACTCGATACTCGGCCCTTGACCGAGTAGCTACCGAGTAGCGAGTTAACTACTTAGGTTGCAACCAAACGAGATTGAGAAATTCAAACATATGAACAAGCAACTTAACAATTGATCATGTATTCATGTTTAATTTTCTTTGCAATTTCTAAGAACCAAACATAAGACAATAACTTTTTACCGTTCCTTTTCTTTTCCATTTCGCATAGCTCTGTCTAGAATCAAACATACAACAATAAATGGTTTTGAAGAAAAAACAAATCAAATAAATTCGGGGGGAAATATCAACTTGACGTTTGAAACGTTAAAAATCAGTAAACATTTGCATATGTGTGTGCGCAGCATTAGAAGATAGAGATAGGTTACGACTTACGATGGCGTCGGAAGATCCATCGACGGACCACTTAGTGATGTCACCCTTAAGAATCTTGAGTAAAGTTGAAGGAGTGAGCTGGAACTGAACAATTTTTGAATCATCATCGCCGCCGCTTGCCATTATTGAGAAGCTAGCTCCGCCACGGACAACCGTAGACAAGTAATTCGGTGCGGTGGTGTGTACGCGAGGTTGGAACTGTGACTTCCGGTGTTTTGCGGGAACGATTTGGGAAGTAAGAAATCGGGATAAGATGGACCCGAATTTTGAAACGGGTCCAGAAATCATCTGTCGATTCTAAGCGGGTACGAGGAAATGTATTGGAAACCGAGATAACTTGTCAACAAGTCTTGAACTAAAAAAGAAGATGCAACCATGCTTGTTTTATGTACCCACCTTATTACCCACCTCTGTGAAGGCTAATTTTTTGTCTGTGAACCAGCTTCTTTCACGGACAATTTTGTCTGTGAAAGAATTTTCAGACAAAAAAAGAAACTTCACAAACATGAGTGAGTCCAAAAGTAGGTATAAAAGTGGGTACAAACATCATTTTCCAAAAAGATGACACCTCATTGTTCGTGAGGCTCCAACCTCAATGAGACAATTAGACGGGACTATGAGAGGATGTAACTATAAAAGTTACAACTTTAATCACAAATTGACAAATAGAGAGTGGAACTCTAACTCTGACTCTGGTACTTGCAGATATGCATAATTCTAATATTTGAAGAGGCCCTATGCATTTTTAGTATAGGCTCTGTTTGCAATCTCGGTTGATAAGTGCTTTTGATTTTTTTAAGAAAAAACACTTATTTTACTAAACACTACCAACATTTACTATCTCGGTTTTTAGAATCTACTTTTTACTTTTTCTATTACACAAAAAGCACTTATTTTACCAAACACTACCAACTTTTACGACTAATCACTTTTTTCCCAAAAAATTCTTTTATTTAAGCACAAGTGGTTGCAAACAAAGCAATAGTAACCTCTCATCGCAATTGGCGTGATTCGAACCCGAGACTTACCCCTTGTGGCACTGCACCTCCTATCTGCAAGTTGAGAGCTACACCCACCGGTAAAAATGTCTTGAACTATAACTAAAGTGAGAGTAAACAACTTTTGGTCCGTTAAAGGAGGTCACAACGTCAAAACTTATCATATTTCAAAGATGTTGGTATGTGATATAGACCTTACATTATACTCCCTCCATCCCACACTTTTTGGGCTCAAATATTTAGAAAAAGTGGTAGAAGGACCCATATAACCGTACTTTATTGTATTGTTCACTCCTTTACTTTTACTGTTTATTAAAAAGGAGGGGCATAAATGATAGTCTACTCTAATTTCTTTACCAAAAAGGGAAATGTGACTATCATTTTGGAACACTCCAAATAGAAAATACAGGACCATCATTTTGGGACGGAGATAGTAACAAAATTGTGAGTAACAAAAATCTAAACGGAGATTGTTTTTATTTACTCCGTATTATAATAGTAATTGGTTGTGGCCGGTGAGAGAGAGAGGAAAGTGTGGGGGAGAGAAAAAGGTAACATAGAAAATTGAAATAGTAAAAGTATAGATGTATATATAAATGTATGTCAAATGCGCACCAGCGCATACAACATACAAAATGTCAATCATGATTGGCTTACAGTTGCTCAAATGGGATTAACGAGTCCTATTGTTCCCGAGTGAGTAATAACTTTTGAGTTTGATCTCATGACGTATGAAGGATCCGAATTTTCTGCCTTACTTCCGAGTAAGGCACCTGTCCGGCCTTTGGGAGTCGTCGGAACAATATTTCAACGACGAGAGATTTTGAACTCTGAATCTCGAGGCATGACTTTTCTCACCCGACGACCTCCCTGCCGCAAGGCACTCTGTCGTGCGGCAGAGGATCCCAATCCGCGTATGAATTCGATGATTTTTTCAATATAAAAAACGCGCCTATAGAATATGGAAAGTGAGAGCGGTCGAGCTCACTGGTTGTCTATTCATTCAGTAACCAACACTTACCAATTTTCTTTACCTCGTTTCCCAGGTAATTTGATTGTGGGCACATTTCCACTTGACCAATACCAACATCATTAGTACGTGACGTCATCTAGGGCCTCAATTGTTCCAGATGGTCCACCCTTTTTGCATCTTTGATTTAAGTCATAGAAGTGTAATTTAAATCAAATGTGTAGTTTTTCAAGATATAAATCAGAGGCAGCCTAGGATTGAAGATAAGTCAATTTCAAAGACAAGATGTCAAATGTTATAGTGGGAAGTTTAAAAATTGTACAAACAAATTACATAGACCGTATAAGTTGTAATTTAAGAAAATTGATCTTAACACGACTAAAACATAACATTGTTTCAAAAATACTAAAAATAGGACCTTATGCTTAGTTTTTGTTAAATATGACTAATTATTCCATTTTTACTCTAATTTAATAAATTAATTAAACTGTGATTTTTATGCACAATTTGCCATATACCTAGAGATAGACTTGGATTTCGTTCAAGCAACTCTAATAATGGGAGTGTTTGGTTAATGACGTTTTTTTTAACTTTTTGGAGTGATTTTGGTTGTTTGACTTTACCAAAAGGCTATTATATGTGTTTGGTAAACAACTTTTTGATTTGACTGTTTGTTACGAAAAAACGAAAACCGAAAAGTCCACTCTCAATAGCTTTTTACAACGACTTTTTTTTTACAACGACTTTTCAATATTATTATTTAAAATCTTAATATACCCTTCCGTTTTAACCCTCTCGCTAATTACTTTATAATTATTCAAAATATGAAATACAATGAAAAATAATTACGACGACATAATAACACCGACAATAGAGCATCATGAATATAATTTCAATTTATATTCCTTCCGTCCCGAATTGTAAGACACTTTACAGTTTACGATGTTTGACTGTCGATAAAGCAAATGGATCCCTGTCCGCACTCAAATTATTTTTAGAAAAAAAGAATTACATATTCAGAAACCACATTAAAAGGTTTACGAATAAAGTCTCAAAAACCAGAAACAAATTTGATAAAAATTTGATATATAAAGTAATGGATTAAGAGTGATTTGTGTTGACCAAGTGAATAGGAAAGATATCATACAAAATGGGACTGAGGGAGTAATATTATTTATTTTTAAAAGTTACTAAAAATAATACGTAGTAATATTCAAAATATTAATACTAAAAACACATGAACTTTTGTATACTCCGTATATAATAGTTAAAAATAATACTACGTAATGTTCCAGAGCATTTATGTATATTAAAAATAATAATAGTGATTATACAAAATAATGGTTAATGTGCTTATCAAAAATAAAAGGCTAAGTTAAATTTATATATTTTGTATCAGTATCTTTAATAGTCATTTTACGTCTTAAAATCTACTCCGTAATTGTGATAGAGATTGGTTAAAACAGCTAGCAAAATTTGCTAATATCGAACAACCAATATAATTTGATTATATGTTAACAGCCAACAGTTGATTGTCAAATGACCCTATTCTTTGAGGAGTAGAACTGGGAACAACTACATCTTAATTTAGATCCTTCTCTCAAACAAACTTGAAAGCAATTTTTACCCTTTAACCAACATAGCAGCCGTATAATAACAAAATATTGAAATCACATATTTCAGACCACTTGAGGTGATTGCAAAGCCACTTGATTGATTGCAATTTGCAAATTTAGTTTGTTGCTTAGAGATACTCCGTATCTTGGAAAGAATGAGATTGAGGCGCAAGAAGGTTACCCAAACTAAATACACTCTTAGCTTCACTGAATAGGCATTGCTCCAAATTGGTTTGTGTTTAACTGTTTATGTATGATTGTAGCATTGGTGTATCAAATTAAAGGCCATTCTCAAGCCTCCACTGTTTGGGGTAGGTCCTTATAAGAGTGTACAAAACCAAGGTGATGTTTAATGGTTTCCTTGAAACCACTATAGGTCTTTGTTTTAAATTCCTTAAATATCTATGAGTAATCATGTGTGTTTGAAAAAAAAAAAAAATAGCCCTTGCAAAAACAGAAAGGTAACGTTAAGTATTATTTAGCTTTACATCTATTTGGAACATTTTCTCTATCTTTCCCATATTGATATTGCTCCAAATAGCTTCAGAGTATTTCAAAAGTTTAAAAATAGAAATGTATGTTTTATATTTCAAAAATATGAGTTTCAATTGCTCTTTTATCCCAATGAATTTATATAGCACGAGAGAGTTTGGTATATTAAATCCACAAACATTATCATTTTCTGTTGAGGTTTATTCCTTCAACCCTCGGGTCCAACACGTAAGGCCAAGGATTTCGAGTGGAGTAGGTGTGAGTAAACTAGCCCAAGAAACAACAAGGTAGCAAGTAAGTGATTAGGTATTATTATCTCTTAATAACTCCCTAATACAATACTTTTCGCTAAGGCTCGTCGGCCGTTCGTCTTACAAGGCAGTAGAAGTGCTGCGAGTAAGAATACTATAGCTAGAGTGCTAAGAATAGAAAGTTGTCCATTAATGGGAGCTCAAAATGTACTATGTAATGATGATGAGAGTTCTAATGAGAAAGAGAGGGCTTGGACATTAGCCTAAAAAGTCCCGTGGTTTTCTCCCTTTCGAGTTTCCACGTAAAAACTGAGGATGTTTTTACTTAGACTGTAATTTGCTGGTCTGGTCTGGTCTGGTCTGATCTGGTCTGGTCTGGTCTGAACTGGTCTGGTCTGGTCTGGTAAGGTCTGGTTTCTTTGTATTTTTATAACTATCCAAGTCTGGTCTGGTCTGGTCTGGTCTGCACTGGTCTGGTCTGGTCTGGACTGGTCTGGTCTGGTCTGGTCTGGGACAAATTACAGTCCAAGTAAAAACATCCTGAGTGTTCATATTGGGCCGCATGAACTAATTTAAACATGAATAGTTAATGATATGGTACCTAAGGAATTTCATTGAGTTCCTTTGGTGTTTGGAACGGTTATTAGTCATCATCTTGATGGAAGCCTCAGCTCGTGATCTTTTTTACAAAGCTAAGGAGGGGCAAATCTAGAAATCAGAATGAAGTAGATTGAAAATGAATACTAACTGGAATATGTAATTTGTTAATGTGGTTGCTGAATATATAATTTTTTTTACTAAAAAAAATTGAGTGTGGATATGAATCTGTTTACTTTATCGTCGATTCGTCGATCAAACCTAGTAAACGTGGTAAAATTGAGACCGATGGAGTAATATATAGTAGGCTAAAAGTAATTAGAAGGTTGGCTAGATTGGGAAACAAAAAAATTACACTAACAAATTAAATCTATGAATAAGGGAGTGTTTGTTGTTGCTTAAAAAAAGCACTTTTCAGCTTTTGGCTTAAAAAAAGTTGAAAAGAGTGTTTTCAAATGACAGCTTCTGCTTAAATTAATCACTTAAAAGCTAAAAGCTGGAAGCAGGTAGAAAGGTGCTTTAAACTGCTTTTCACTTTTTATATTACACAAAAATCACTTATTTTACCAAACACTACCAACTTTTACTTTTTTAGAATCACTTTTTTATCAAACACTACCAACTTTTACTATTAATCACTTTTCCCAAAATCACTTTAAAAAATCACTTTTTTAAAGTTGAAACAATTGCAAACACTCCCTAAATTAATTTGTCCCGAACTTGAGTCTGGAGCCATTATAAGGGAGTGCTTGCTAATGATTAAATAAATGTTTTTCAGTTTTTGGTTTAAAAAGTTGAAATGAGGCTCTGTTTGCAAACTCAACTGAGAAGTGCTTTTAACTTTTTTAAATGATTTGGTAAAAAAATGATTAATAGTAAAAGTTGGAAGTGTTTGAGAAAAAAATGATTTTGAAAAGTAAAAGTTGGTGGTGTTTGGTAAAATAAGTGCTTTTTGTGTAATAGAAAAAGTAAAAAGCAGATTCTAGCTTTTAAGTAATTCATTTAAGTAGAAGTTGTCATTTGAAAACATCTTTTTTAGCTTTTTTAAGCCAAAAGCTGGGAAGTGCTTTTTTAGTTGTGTTTGCAAACAGAGCCTGAGTGTTTTCAAATGACATCTCTTGCTTAAATTAATCACTTAAAATCTGAAAGCAGGTAGAAGGATGCTTTAAACTGCTTTTCACTTTCTCTATTACACAAAAAATACTTATTATACCAAACACTACCAACTTTTACTTTTTCAGAACAACTTTTTTCTCAAATAGCACCAACTTTTACTACTCCCTCCGTTCTTTATTATTAGTCCTCCATTCCATTTTGGACTTGTTTTTTTATTTGTCCTCCTTTCCATTTAAGGAATGTTTTTACCATCAATATACATTTATACCCCCACTTTTATTACCATTACCCCTTTCTCTTTTCTACATTTTCATTTACCCCCTACTCATTACACATTTTACACTATCCCTATTACTTTCCTCTTAAAACCCATGTCAAAGTCTAAGAAGACTAATATTATAAAACGAAGTACGTGAGTATGAAGTATTTTCTCTAAAACCACTTTAAAAAGCAATGACAAACACTTTTAAATGTGGTATAGATTCTCTTTGAAACTAAGCTACGTAAGTAAGTAATGCCTATCGCTACGCCTCTAATTATTTTTACAGCATCCAAAGTAGTTCACGCATATACTTGCCTGAAAACCCATCTATCTGCAAATGGAACCAGAATGCTCTTAGTTTAACTAGCTAATATTATATAGAGGACTGCTCAGGTCCCTCCGGAGGGACGGGAGAAACCGTCCGAACTTTACTGTTTGGGGCGGTTCCCGGTGGAATTTTTTGATGAAATTTTTTGAGCATGTTCCTCATCAAGTCTAGTTTGTCCATACCAAATTTCAGCTCAAAATTCGACCGGGAAGGCAGTCAAATAAATTCTTGAAACTTACTGCACTTTATATATGCGCAGAATGTGCAGTAAGCTTCAAGAATTTATTTGACTGCCTTCCCGGTCGAATTGTGAGCTGAAATTTGGTATGGACAAACTAGACTTGATGAGGAAGATGCTAAAAAAATTTCATCAAAAAATTTCACCGGGAACCGCCCCAAACAATAAAGTTCGGACGGTCCCTCCCGTCCCTCCGGAGGGACCTGATCTTTTCTGATATTATACATTTATAATATACAATAACTATACTAATATAAAGAATATTCCCTCGGGTTCTTAAACAAATTCACAATTTAACTTTTGAGAGTCAACCTTTATTAACTTTGGCCCCTTAATTATATCTATCAATAGAGAATTGAGATATTTGTACCCTGTCAAAGTAGAGAAGTTTGGCAAATTCATTTATTTTAAAAAAGGTGACAACTCCCATACCCATTTAAAAAATGGGGTACCGTACCTACCATTAACTTGATTGGTCTAAATCATGATATCATTTTAAATTTAGATTTAAATAGTTCAACTGCAACATTTTCATTAGTCCATGTGGACAAAAGTATGGTACCTTATGAGTACCATAAAATCTACCTTGCAAAAATAGAATTATCTAAATAGGAGTAAAACGTGCCTAAAATCACAAATAGGACTACATATATTGTTTTGAATATTTGTGAATGATTTAGGGAGTATGTTTTAGTCGTATTCCTGCAATTATGTTTTCATTTAGTCCTATTTAGGATAATTACTAAACAATATATTATTCCCCTTTGTCCCACAAAATTTGGTCAAAGTTGACTTGCACGTAAATTAATAAAGTAAAAATTGTGTGATCCAAATTTTTGCATAGGAGAGAGAAATAACATTATTAACCACATATTTCTTATTTTAAATGGAAATGACAAAGTTTTTGGGAACGGCCAAAAATGACCAAGTTTTATTACTCCCTCTGTCCCGCTAAGATTGTCCAATTTTTTCTTTTCGGGAAATCCCGCTAAGATTGTCTCATACCGAATTTGGTAAAGTTTGTGTGACTCTAAATCATTTTTACTTTATTATCAATTCAATATCAATCACATAAATTCACTTTTCTTAATAATCGTGCAACGGAAGTAATACTCCATAATTTATTATAGAGTTTTATATATAGTAAGTACTGCTGCGTATATGTTTTTACATCTAAACAGTCAAACGTCGATATTGAAGATCGGGAAAGTTCTAATTATGAAATTAATTGAGGTTAAGAGTAGTACATAAGTTGCATGCATGCCGAGCTTAACCCTCAAAAGGCAGTTTCCCCCACTATCGAACCACTTGCAAGTTCCTCTTAATTCTCCTCTTATAAAAACCACTACAAACTTCCAATCCAATAAGAAACTGCACCTTAAATAAAATTATGAACCTACCCAATTCAATCAGAATTAACTGATACTCCTCCTCCGATCTTCCTCTTATTCATGCATATATGCCCTTCAACTAACGATCAATCTAGCCAGCCTCACATGCTGCATTGTTCTCCAGGCCGAATAAATTGAAATATAGGATTATTATTAATATAGTAACACTAATAACAGTAGTAATAATTTTTTTTATTAAAAGAGAAGCAAGAAATGGAATTATTCACTAAGTGGGTTCTTGTTTTGGCTATCTTGATTTCCGTGGAAGCTTCATTTGTGATGTCGCGAGTTAGCCGAGATTATCTGCAGGCCCCTTTCCCTGCACCCGAGGCTGCACCTGCACCCCATGATGGAGAGGGCTATTCCTCCTCCTCCTCCTCCTCCTCCTCCTCCTCATCATCATCATCATCATTATCCTTCAATGTCCTAGCTTATGGAGCCGTAGGGGATGGCATTGCGGATGACACATCGGCATTCAAGATGGCTTGGGACGATGCGTGCCGAAGCAACTTATCATCACCCGTCGTGCTAGCTCCGGTTGACCTCCTTTTCTTGATCCAACCAACCATCTTCAGCGGCCCTTGTAAAAACCCTCTCACCCTTCAGGTATTTTTAAGTGTGTGTTATGAAGTGGACTTCTATGTTTTTAACTTTTAAGCCATCTAAAGTTGTATTGAAGTATATATAAAACATATAAGTCATGTTCTAGTCTTTCAAAAGAAAGATAAGTCGTGTCACGCGCAATCACGTGGTGGGGATAGAGAGGGGCCGGAGGGGGCCGGGCTTCATCTTTCTCAAGTTCTTTTTACGCTAATATAAAGAATATATTTATGATCTATCAATAAAGAGCCGTGCTTGGTTTACAATTTTTAGTATACATTTTTAGCACACTTGTCTCTCTACGCAGACAGAGTTGTCTGTATAGCAGGGCCCCACAGAGTTGTCTGTATATAGACAACTCTGTCTGCGTAGACAAACAAGTGTGCCAAAGGTGTACACAAAAAACGTATACACCAAACATTTTTCATCAATAATATGTTGACGCATTAAGTTTTGGCGGGGCGTGCAACGTAAAATTTTGAGACGTGACCGAGTTGTCTCTCGTAACACTACATTTCTGGCTCCGTCACCGAGAGTTGAGGAATTTCGTGTACTTGTGTGCAGATTGAGGGCACCATAATGGCACCAGATGGACCGGATTCATGGCCCAAGAATGTGACAAAGAAACAGTGGCTAGTTTTCTACAGAGTGAATGGAATGTCTATGCGAGGTGGTGGAGTGGTTGACGGCCGAGGTGAGAAATGGTGGAACCTTCCCTGCAAACCCCACAAGGTAATTCCATCATAAGTATTTGTTATTGTACGGTGCTCTATCTCTAGGCACTAATAGAATGAGACATTTGTATATTTCTTCAGAACGCCAAAATGACTTTCTTGTTTTGTCTCTTCTGAAAACACAACGTAACAGGGAGTAGATGGGACAACTCCACCAGGTCCTTGTGACAGCCCAGTGGTATGTACATATATAGAAAAGCTACCTAGGTTGACATATGCATACATATTTCCAGTCCCTTTTTATTTAGTTATATTTGACTTTTTCAATGAAACATGATCATTTATATTTTTTGCTAATGTATTTATGTAAAATTTAATGATTTTATACATTTATGATAATATTATGGATAAAGAACATTTTCATATCATTTTCATGTTATCAATATTTATGTGTATAAGTATATAATCGGTCAAAATTATACACCATTAACTTGAAAAGTCAAATTTGACTAAATAAAAATGGACGAAGAGAATATGTAATTATCAATTACGAGAACTTAGTAGTTTACTCCTATAAGTAATTACTAGTACTGTGTAATTTACAACTTTACATCTGTTTGGGAACTATTGAGAAAATGACACGATTTTTTGACAAATAATTATATAAAGTTATTCATGTGTATTTTAAGAATCAGTATTGATGGGTTTTGATTTTTTTTTGAAATTTACTTATATAAACCTCCCATTCTTTTATATTAGCAGCATTCCGATTTTTGCACATGCCAATGCATAGCTTTAATTGTAATTGTGTGTTTTTTCTACCTAATTGTAATTGTGTTTAATTCTCTATTAGTAAAAAAATAAAAATCAGATTATGAAAATTTACAATGAGACGAATTGAACAATATTTTTCCAAAAATAAGCCTCATACAATAATAAATAAAATGGAGTCAAAGTAGATCATGTGTATAGTATAAAACTTTCCATGTTGCAACTAAAAACAAACAATGAATAATATATTACACTCCAATATTTAACTATTTCATTACAATTACGCATGGACCGGTTCCGGTGAACCGGCCCGGGGTGTTAGAGCGGTGCGGTTCCGGGCCTACCCTTCCTTTGGAACTGGCCGGGCCCGGTTCGGGCCTATTTATTTATTTATTTATTTATTTATTTATTTATTTATTTATTTATTTATTTATTTATTTATTTATTTATTTATTTATTTATTTATTTATTTATTTATTTATTTATTTATTTATTTATTTATTTATTTATTTATTTATTTATTTATTTATTTATTTATTTATTTATTTATTTATTTATTTATTTATTTATTTGTTTGTTTGTTTGTTTGTTTGTTTTTTCAATTTTTGTTTTTTTTTTCAATTTTTTTTTGTTTTTCCCGGGTTGGGCTAGGTGTTTGGGGGGAGGGTGAGGGGGGTTAATTAGAAAAGCAAAAAAAAGAAGAACTGACCCGGGACCGGCCCGGACCCGGTTGCAAACCGGCCCGGTTCCGGGCCCGCCCCCAAAAAATAAAAGCTCGGTTTGGACCGGAACCGGTCCATGCCTAATTACAATGTATTGTAAATTTATCCTCATATATTTTTGTTTCACTATGTTGAACTCATTTCGTATATGAACTTTATGAGATATTTTAAATTTTTAATCGAATTTTAGGATAGAACTCGTGTCTTAGCACGTTTAAATTTGAGCAGCACTCTAAATTAAGTTAGATTGGTCCCGACTCTCGAGCCCATTTGATCTATATACACATTGAGTTAGCGAAAAGCCGAAAATTAAAGGTTAATTTGGTTTGTTTTTTGTTTGTTTGTTTAAGCGAGCAGGCTTTAAGGTTCTTCACAAGCTCAAAATTGAGGGTGGGGGAGCTTACGATAAAGAACAGCCCAATGTTCCATTTCCGGTTTGACCACTGCAATGAGGTCCACATTGATTCACTCCACATCATAGCACCCCCACACAGCCCCAACACTGATGGAATCCACATTGAGAACACTTATGATGTCACTATACAAAACTCCATAGTCTCCAATGGTATAGTAATCCATCAAATTGTTTCCTTTGTTCCATGCATGCCACTTGCTAATTGCTATATTGATCCATTTTTATCCTACTTTTGCTTAGGTGATGACTGTATATCCATTGGAGCAGGCTCTTACAATGTAGATATAACCAACATGACTTGTGGCCCTGGTCATGGGATTAGGTACAACTCTTTCACACTAATCATATAATAATTAGTTTTCTAAAACTATACACTCACTGCATTGTGAAGAATGAGTTGGGGAGGCTTATCAAGCATACGATTTAATTTGTAGTTACTGTAAAATAAGTTGTTCTTATGTCAAAGTCTTACATTAGAAAAATAAAATAAAATAAAATAAAATAAGAATGGTGAGTCTGTCCAACTTTGGGTTAAAATTATAAACTTTGTACTTTTAAAAAAGTATGGTTAACAAAAAACATTTTCATATTAGAACTACTTTCACACTCCTCATATAAATATATTATCGGTCAAAGTCTAGCATTTTTCATCAGAAAAGTGAAAGATGACTAACTAAAAATGACAAAAATCGAGTATAACTTTTTATGTTTTGAATAATCTTGTTTTAAAAATACGATGAGTCAAACTTGACCATCATTGGTCAAGAAAAATCAATATAACCGTCTTATGAGATCGGGAGTATAGTATATGAGTGCTTGAGTGTGTAGTGATGCATGTGTGTATGTATTTGATTGGGTGCAGTATTGGCAGCCTGGGCATGAAAAACAGTAGGGCATGTGTATCAAACATAAAGGTGAGGGATTCAAGCATCCGGGATTCTGACAACGGAGTCCGGATCAAGACGTGGCAGGGTGGGTCCGGATCCGTTTCCAACGTTGCCTTTGACAACATAAGAATGGACAACGTCCGGAACCCCATCATAATAGACCAGTATTACTGCAGCCATGCCGCTGGCGTCTCCTGCACAAACCAGACCTACGGAGTGTCCATATCAGGTGTGACATACTCAAAGATCAAGGGAACTTTTGACATCAGAAGCCCTCCAATGCACTTGGCCTGCAGCGAAACTGTCCCGTGTACCAACTTAACCTTGTCCGAGGTTGAGCTGTACCCTTCACAAGGGCAGAGAATTTCAGACCCTTTCTGTTGGAATGCCTATGGGGATCAGGTTACTGCCACTATTCCTCCTATCTCCTGCTTGTTGGATGGTACTCCTCAGTCATTTCCTAGTATTACTTATGAAGATCATTGTTCGTGATCCATACCTGAGGCTAGGCTGGCTACGAATTACATATATTGGACCTTAGTTTTGCATTAATGGTCAACAGATGAAGCTAATTATGTTGCTAGGAAAATCCATCAAGCTTAGCTGGCTATGGGTATGATTTAATTTATTAATTTGAAATGAGAATTAGTGTAACATGCAGAATAATGTGCGTTCTTAGCATGTAGAAAATTAATTATGATAGATCAGTTAATTGTATACATTCATTATGATCAATTCATACCATTATTTATTCATAAGGAGGTAGGAACAAAGAGTGCATGAGTGCATCCGGTAACCAGTTTTTGCTACTTTGATTCTATGAAAATGTTACGAGGTTTTAAGTCATTATTTTTGCAAGTCTAGAGCAGCTTTTTACTGTCAAAGCTAGATTTTTAAAAATTGTTTTCCATAAAGTATGATTCAAGAAATACATGATAGATTAGGAAAATTAAGTACGAAGTTTATATTGAGCACAACATATTAAAAAATGGTGATTATAAAGGTCTATTCTTGAAAATAACTATTCATACTGCTATCCAACAGATGTTTTAAAGTAATATTCCGTATTTTTCATTTTTACTTTGTGTTCAATAATACTAGTATACTACGTATGATGCGTTGATTTATACTTTGTTCCAATATAGAATTCCACAATTCAATTAGAGAAACACTTTAATTTGTTTATTTAAATGGGCAAAAGTATGACTTACAATACACAGTTACCATATGAGTAATTTTTGTTGACCACAGCACAATATGTGACCCGTTATAGTAGTCACATTCTTATCTACACATTCTGTTTCAGTAACATAAAATATTTTGTTATTTTTATTAGAGTTGAATATAAGAGTAATTTCATCTCTCATCCATCTAAAAAAGTAAATTATAAATCGGTTGGAGATAGACAGATAATGAGCCCGTTTGGTAGCACCAAAATCGGCTGTTTTGGCTGATTCTGCTGAAATTTATGATATTCTGGCTGGAGTGGCTGTTTTGGCTGATTCTGCTGATTTAAGAAAAAAATATTTTAAAAATATATTTTATTAATAAATTAAAGAAAAAATTATATGTAAAAATAGCTAAAATGGTCCTCTACAGTAACTTCAGCCAATACAGCCAGAAAAGTAACTCCAACCTTACTTTTTCGGCTTATTACACAATTCAGCGCGCGAAAGTAAAAGTTACGTGTTTGGTGAAAAAACTGGCTGATAAGCCTGATAAGCCGAAAACAGAGTTCTCCAAACAGGCTCTATAAGGGAATGTTTGCAAAAGATACAAAAAATTATTTTCAGGGTTTTTGCTAAAAAACTAAAATCAGTGTTTTCAAGTGACAATTTTTATTTAAATTAAGCTAGAAGTTAAAAGCTAGAAGCATATGAACAGTGCTTTAAACTATTTTTCACATTTTGTATTAAATAAAAAACATTTCTTATCAATATCAGCTTTTATTTTCTCAAAATCGCTTTTATCTCAAGCGTTACCAACGTTAACCATTATTAAGCTTTTTTTTTTCTAAAATCTATTTAAGAATGCATTTTCAAAGTATAAGCAACTCCAACATGAACCACACAAGTCCAGGTGGTTCTTACTAGATCTGCATATACACGGCCGGCACTATCATGTAGAAACTATAGATGACGCCTTTTTTTTATGTTCTTTGAGGTTGGCCCTCCCAAAGATTTTATTTGATTATGGATTTATGGGCACATCTCCACTTGACTAAATACCAACATCATTAACGATGACGACAGCTAGGGCCTTAACCACCTTTTTGCATCTTTGATCTAAGTCATACAAGTGTAATTTTCAATCAAATGTGTAGTTATTTGGGACTAAAACAAGAATTTTACTAAACAATCACAATTGGATAAAAAAAAGTGACATTTTTTTTTAATTTTATAAAATGAGACTAAAAATGGGTATGGAGACCATTATACCCTCATTAGGCCCAGATGACCCATACAGTGACCAGTTACGGTTACCCAACCAATTACAATTACTCGACCCATCAGTTACAGTTACCCGACCCGCTAATTACAGTTATCTGACCTACCAGTTACAGTTACCCGACGGGTCAATTACAATTACCCGACATGCCAGTTACGATTATCTAATTTGACCAGTTGTAGTTATCAAATCGACCAATGACAGTTACCGAGTTCGACCATTTACAGTTACACGGGTCTGATAATGATTATCGTCAACCACCACCATCGGCCACCATCGAACACAGCACGCCCCATCCCCTGCCAGCCCCCTCCCATGTGTCACCCCAACCCCCTGGCCTTCCAAAACCACCATGCCTAGCCCCTTCGACACCACCAACGCCTCAATCCCATAAGAAAAGGAAGAGTGTGGGGATGGTAGACAGAAGCAACGAATGAGAGAAGAAGCATGGAAAAGGCAACTGTCGGCAGCGGTTTCAATTGTGCAGTCGACTGCCCTCACTATAGAGTGAATTCTTCGTCCTTCTAGAGCCTCATTGTTGTTGCCACAACATTTAGTTTTTTATTGGGGGAGAGGGGGAGTAGGGATGGACTCGGGCCAGGCGGCCCGGCCCGGAACCGGCCCGGCCCGGTTACTGTTTGAACCGGCCCAGCCCGGGAACCGGTCCGGGGGGCGGTTTGGGTCGGTCCGGTAGGAATGCAGTTCGGGCTCGGGCCCTAGGATTGGTGAACCGGCCCGGCCGGTTCGGGCCAAATTATTTTTTTTTTTTATTTTTTTTAAGTTTTTGGGTTGGGCTGGGTATTTTGGGCCATTTGAGGTGGTTTGGGTGGTTTGGGGGTGAGGGGGAGAGTTGGGGATTAATTAGGAAAAGCCAAAAAAAAAAAAAAAAAAACTGAGGCCTGGCCCGGACCTAGGATTACCCGGGCCGGTTCCGGGCCTCCCATTCCTGAAGCGAGGCCCGGCCGGGCCCGGGCCCAAACCGGTCCACCCCTAGGGGGGAGGGGGGATGGAAGAAGAGGACCACGTTAAGCATTTGGGGCTTTGGGCTGAAAATAATCCAGGGGTAATTCTGGCAATCTCTCCCTAATGTAAAGTAGTACTCCCTTCGTCCTGAAAAGGTTGGCCAAAGTTGACTTTCACGTGGATTAATAAAGTAAAAACTGTATGGTTGAAATTTGTGCAGAGGAAAGAGAATTAGTTTTAGCCACATATTCTTTACTTTAAATGGAAATGACAAATCTTTTTGCGACATCCAAAAAAGGAAATTTGGTCAACCTTTTTGGGACGGAGTGAGTAATACATTAGGGATGTTTTCACTTGGACTGTAATTTGTTGGTCTGGTCTGGTATGGTCTGATAAACGTCTGTCGTCCGGTCTCTGTGTATTTTATAACAACGAAAGTCAAGTCTGGTCTGATTTGTCCGTTTAAGTCTGGTCTGGCCTAGTCTGTTTAAGTCTGATCTGGTCTGTTTAGGTCTGGTCTGGGACTCAAAACAGTTCAAGTAAAAACATCCTAAGTCATTAATCATTTTTAGTTGTTTTTCATGCTTTAAAACAAAGATGCGGTCCGGGCATGCAAATGTGACAATGTCAAATGTTTAAGTAAATCATGTCTCGTGCACACCAAATATACTCAATATAAAAAAAAAATCGCCATAAAATTTGTGCGAACAAATTATGTGATCCATATAACAACGTTTTCTTTTGAACTGTTTTCAGTCCCAGACCAGACTAATGACCAGATCAGACTTTGATAGTTATAAAATACACATAGACCAGACTAGCTCAGACCAGACTTAAGCATACAAGAATAGACCAACAAATAATTGTCCAAAAGAATACACCCTAAGTTAAAATTTTGACAGCTCTTGATTATATTCTAGGTATGGGTGAGAATAGGCTAGACCTGTCAGGGACCTACGGCCTGAACTGTTTAAGGCTTGGCCTGTTTAAGTCCTGGCATGTTTAATAATCAAGTAAGGCTTCGGGCTAGGTAGTTTACTCGCTACTCGGTAGCTACTCGGTCAAGGGCCGAGTAGCGAGTATGACCGATTACTCGGGATTACTCGGTGATTACTCGGCCTAGTATTAATTAAATATAAAAAATATATTTAAATATAGTAGTCTTAATATAGTAATAAAATTGTCTTTAAATTGTCTTAAAATGTTTAGAAGTGAATAAAAGGATAGAAATTGTCTTAAAATGCATATAATACGTATACAATACCAGAATACAACTTCAAGAAGCACGAGCAGTGGAAAGGCAAATATTTTCTGTAGTTTTTTGGCACCTATTCTTATTCCAATTGAAGAACTTCAAAGTAACTTCAAAGTGGCACCTACCGAACAACTAGTCCTCAAAGGTAGTTCCCTAAATGAAAATTGCAGCTCACCCAAAACCAAACATGATGCCTTTTTGCTAAGCTATATTTTTCACCTTTTCAATTAAGAGATTTTATTTCAGCATTCAGCAACTCAGTTCTCAGGGGTACATTCAATACATTCACTTTAGTTGGCCAAAGACTTGAAAATGTACAATGAAAACACCGGTTTAAGAAGCACAAGCAAACGAAGAACAATCCAAAATTCTCAGAGTTTATTACAGTATACAGAGAAGAATATAATAGGCAACATGAGGGAGAATAAGAAACAACACAGAGGATAATCTCAATTTAATTTTTTTCCAAGCGAAGGTAATGTTTTTTTTTACATACCGAGTACTCCCGACTAAATCGCCTTTTTGACCCACTGGCCAAGTTGGCTAACTCGCCGAGTACTCGGCGAGTAACTCGGAATAATAACTCGGGCCGAGTAATGTGCTACTCTGCAAGGTCATAGGCCGAGTAGGGAGTACTCACTGAGTACTCGCTGAGTACTCGCCGAGTAAATAACCCAGGCTTCGGGTTTTCGAATAAGAATAGCATGGTAGTTTTGTTTCTATGATCTTATGATGTGAGTTATGATCCACAAGTTACGGTCTTTTCGACCCCTTTCGAATTTCGATCCGTGCTAGGATCTTGAGTTTAAAATAATCTTGGCAACATACACCATACTAATGATACATTGGCATTAGTATGGTGTATGTTGCCAAGGTTATTTTAATACAAAGAAAAAAAAATAGTGGATGCCTTCTTGGTCATGTTGATAGTATCGCTTTTAGTTTTTCACGATATAACATGACTGTATTGGAGAAATATAATGATTTCTTTATCAAAAATATACTCTCCATTCATTAAGAAGATAGAAATAAAACAGAAACAAAAAATACATGTGAGAAGCTACGCCTACGCATCTGGTCTTCCTCATCCACCTACAGTTTTTTAGGGCTCCTCAAAACATTGCCTTATTTCACTGCTTAAAACTCTTTTCATATGCAGAGTTCTTTCCATTCCTCAGAGCTACTTCAACTCTAATGGGTACTCTTCCTCTATAGAGACGGTAAATTTGTTGATTAACCCAGAATTTAACTTCGCCCTGATATTCCTGTTTCCAGTTCCTAACACCTACATATCAGTTGAGGTTGTTAACCGAGTAGTTTTACATACTTCATACGTTGAATTATGTGTGCTGAGCTAGGATTTTGATATGTTAGGACCAAAGGACATTCTAATCATAGTGAGAACTCCAAGAAGGTAATCTGGGGTGAAATGACCTAGTTTTGCAAATCAATACACTTCCCAAGCCATCAGACGCGATAGATGTCACACAATCAAACGGTTAATCTGAATAGCTACACTATTTATTGAAGGGAAAAGGGGCAAATAAGCCCTCGAACTAACCAAAAAAGTGCAAATAAGCCCTTTTGTAGGAGGTTTCGTCCGGCCATCGTCATTTGAGGAGGTTCCCGGTGGAATTTTTTGATGAGTTTTTTTTAGCATCTTATTCATTAAGTCTAGTTTGCTCATATCGAATTTCAGCTAAAAATTCAATCGGGAAGACAGTCAAATGAATTTTTGAAGATAACTGCGTAGTTAAACAACACAGTATATTTCGGAAAATCATTTGAGTGCCTTCCCGGTTGAATTTTTAGCTGAAATTTGATATGGCCAAACTAGACTTAATGAAGAAGATACTCAAAAAAATTTATCAAAAAACTCTACCGGGAACCTCTCCAAATAATGGCGACCGGACAGAACCTCTTACAAAAGGGCTTATTTGCACTTTTTTTATTAGTTCGAGGGCTTATTTGCCCCTTTTCCCTTTATTGAATAACCAGGTACCTCTATTCACATTTCATTTGATTTTGGGGCTGTGAGAAAAACTTCTTTGCATTTTGTGCCACATCTGCCTCTATAATAGCTTCTAGCACAATGTCAGATCCCTTTGCTTCAGCTAGAGCAAGCAATTCAAGAAAAAGTGAACATTAATTACTGCCTCTATTTGATTTATTGTGAACAGTTTGATGATGACTGATGAGACATGTAAATATAAATATATATATGTGTGTGTGTGTGTGTGTGTTAAAAGGGGTGATGTTCGTGATGCAGCCTCATGCATAAAAAGTTGCTTGAAGCCAAAGATGTGGCTCATCATCAATAAAGCATCCCCCCAAGGTATAGCTCTATCACACGGCAGGACGTACTTACTTAAGGTCATGCCCGGAGTTGAAGGGTAAAAGTTCATGCCACTGCCTAAACATCAAGGGAAAATTCATGCAACCTCCCTGAGCAACAACCCACAACTTAAATCCTCCTCCAATCCTAGTACATCAAAAGTGATGCACAATTCAGACAAAAAAATGGTACTATTTAATACGACGTGAGAGTAGATAAGGTATGCTATCCCCCCAAACCCTAGGAATCAGACGCCTCTCCACTAGCTCCCCCTCCCCTACGAAAACCACCAACTCCTAAAAATAGAGAAATGAAACAACAACAACAACAACAACAACAACAACAAAAACAACAACCGAGACATGGTCCCGAAAGGTTTTGGGGTCAGCTAACATGAATCGGTATATGAAACCGGAACTTAAAGAGATGAAAAAGATAAAAAGATAAAGATAAGATAAAAAGATAAACAAAGATAAGATAAATACAAAAAAAGATAAGATGAAAAGATAAAAAAGATAAATAGGATAAAAATATAAAAAAGATAAAAATAGAAAATAACGACAACAACAACATTACCCCAGTGCCGTAAAGGCTCCCACCTACGGTGGAGTAAGGGGGTTGGATGTACGCAGCCTAACCCCTGTGCTAAAAGCACAGAGAGACTGTTTTGAGATGACCAATGGTAAAAATAGAAAAAAACCCAGCCTCTAGAATCTGGTCCATATAAATAAGCAAACAAAACTAACTATGTCACTGAAAAGGTCAATTTAACAAATGTACACCCGATTAATTTCAGTGAGGTACAACCACTTGAAATAGCAAAATTCAGCTATGTTTTTAAAAATTATTTGTTGCTTTATATAGATTTAACATACTTAGCTTGTTTGAGGATACAATAAAAGAATACATTCCGTATTATAAAAATTAGCTTCTTTTGTGACAGCACGATAAGTTTTCAAACAAACTAATATTTTTGGACAGAGGGCAGGAAAAAAGATGACATATACCTGTATGATCAGGCAACAGACCTGCACTTTTAGCAGAGACTGGAAGCACAAGATTACCAGATTTATCAGGAACCTCATCCAGAGCTTCGCAGTTTTCATACTTGGGTTTTGATAATGTGATTTCGGCGAGTTTTGCATATGCTGTTGCTTGACTGTTCATATCAGAAGGGGTTGAGGGCTTAAAGTTACAATCCTGCAAGTACAGCTACATCAATCCTTTAATTGGAAAATGATAGGAAAACTTGGTACTCCAAATGAATATATAGAGATGGCAAGTACCTTGGGTGTGTTACTGATAGTTGTGCCCTTACTTTCAGACTTTTCAGGTCCATTTTCCACCGATGTACCAGCACCAGCAGTGGGTGGGTGGTTTTTTATGTTATCAACTAGCCTTGTGGTTAATGGACCCGGATTCACAAAAGAAATGGTTCGGATTTCATGTCGTATGGCTTCTAATTGAGCAATTGTATCTTGTAGCTCTTTATGGACCTTTAAGAGAAATCCCAGAAAAAAAATCATCCCCGCCATACACAAGTATGTCAGATATGAGAAAAAGATACTGGAGTATACATCTATATCGAATGATGATTACTATATACTACGTATAAGTTAAAAGAAGAGTAAACACCTAAATAAATAGGTGAAGGAAGATAAAAGACACCTGTCGAGCTTGAGTTTGCTGCATGACACTCTCAAATTGACCACGGGCCATTTGAACATAGCCAATAGCACGGCCAGATAACCTCCCAGCAGTTCTTGCTATGACTGGAAGGTCCTTAGGTCCTGACAAATTAAAACCCTGCCTCATCATATATAAATCAACACATGAAGGATATAATCAATCTCATACTGAGAAGCAAGTTTTGGGAATAGGAAACAGGATTATCAGAACTATAATGAAAAACCGGGTGAATCGAAGACAGTTTACACTGCCATTACAGAGGAAGAGTACCAATTAAAGCCGCAGTAGCTCCAAGCAATAGAAACAACTCTCCGTATGAAAACCCTAGCATGTCTTTATGTCTCTAGTTTGAACAAAGAATTAAAGGGAGCTGGAGTCAATAGATCTCGCTGTTCGTTTGCTGAGGAAGCCAGAGTGTCTAGACCTGAGAAGGAATACAATACAGAAGAAGCAATTAAACATTAGAAGAAATAATTTTATATGGGGAAAAATCACATTACAAGGGTCAAGGAATAATTTTATGTAACAAAAACAACAACCAAGCCTTATTCCCAAAAGAGAATCATTTTATGTGAACTTAATTTATATTTTGTCCAGCAAAAAATTAAAAAGAAGATTTACCCTTGACGATGTCAACTATTCAAGCATAGGCAAACAAGCGGGAATCCACAGTGCAAGCGCCGGAAATTAACTTTGCTTTCACATTTCAAAGCATAGAATGACTATGTACTAACAGAAACCGTTAATTGTGTAATATGAAGTTAAAAAAAAAACACAAAGAGGAACCAAAGCTAGTATCTAAAGTCTCCAGTTCAAAAATCAACTCTTAACCAACTTTGAGCTTCCTGTCTTTCCAATGGTATCTCCATAAACAAACAGAAATGCAATTTACAATGTGCAATTAGGTGTCTGCTCAATCTTGAGCAGCATTATTAGTATCATAAAGAAGTTTACAACCACAAGCTTTCCAAATTAATGCAAATGGTATCTTAGGAATTTGAGGTGCAACTTAGAATAAGGATTTAGGTAAATAAGTTGGGCCATGAGTCCATGACTAGTGGCTGATCTATTGCCTCTATTAGGGCCTGGGATCGGTTCGGTTCTTGTTAAAATTCGATGGATCCGTATTAAAAATCGCGTTAAATTCGGTTCGGTTCTAGTTAAAAATGTAGTTGTTAAATTCGGTTTGGTTCTAATTAAATTCGGTTCGGTTCTTACCCTTTTTCGGTTCCTTATAAAAATTTATTATCCTAATAAAACGAACACATTTTACCTTCAGTTACGTAAAAAAAATCAAATTTCAAATCATGAAATTATGACCATTACATTACACATACCTTATATCCCAATGTTCAAATATCACAAAAAGTCCAAGTGCAAACATTAAATTTAAACATAATAAAAACATAAAGGTTTAAAATAGGCATCAACTGTCAAGCAAAAAGGTTTAACAGCTCCAAGGTACACATCCAATATCAGGTAGTTTCAATACCACAATAAGTTCTACTAATAATGCACCATAAGTAAAAAGTACATAGTTATAAACTGATTGGTAATATTTGTAATTTAATATGAACAAATAACAATGTAATCAGCGGCATATTAATTCCTTTTTTTAGGTGAACTCAAATAACAAATACAATTACAAACAAACAATAAATATAATTCATAAAAAAATAATAAATATAAAAGTGGACTAAACTAGTTAAAAGTAATTACTCGGATTGGCCTGATCCATAATATTATGCAAGACAAATATTTCTGATAAGAATTTTCTGACCGAATCGCCGTCTGGCCACCTCAATTTGAGGTGCTTCCGAGTATAATTTTTTGATGACATTTTGTGAGCATGTTTTACTTGAAGGGTATATTATATCCACCAAATTTCAACTTAAAATTCAACCGGGAAGTGAGTTAAATAAAATGTTGAAAAACATTGCGTTTTTTACATATATTTTGACGTAGTATTTTTCAATAATTTATTTAACTGACTTCCCGATTGAATTTTAAGTTCACATTTGGTGGACATAATCTATACTTCATGAAAAATAAGCTCACAAAATTTCATCAAAAAATTCCACCCAGAAGCATCTCAAATGAAGATTACGCATGCAATGTATAACAACCGGAACCGAACCGATCCTATGCTATAGGAACCGAACCGAAAAAAGCTGAAGTCCAAAATTATAGGAACCGAACCGGAAAATTCGGTTCGGTTCGGTTCGGATCGGACGATCGGTCTGATAGTTCTTTTCTGAATATGGGTGGAAACGACATAGGTGGACTTTTGAGTATGTAGTCGTTAAATTACATAGACTAGGGGTGGGCATGGGTCGGTAATCTTAAAAAAAAAATAAGAACCGCCGGGTAAGTTGGCCGGGTAAGTGAATTTTAATGATAGGAACTAGACCCTACCCGCCCCGTTTGAAACGGGTTGGTTCGGTCCGAGTTTTGCGTATTAGTCATGCATTCAACCAAACAGAAATTCTGAAAATCTACAGCATGCACTATATTAAGGCTTTGTTTGAAAATACTAAAAAAAACCGCTTCCCAGTTTTTGGCTTAAAATCAACAACTCAACAACAAACAGAAACTTAAAGTTCCAAGTTCCAAGTTTGCAGATAGAGAAGATAACTAAAAGTCTAAAACAGAAAAGATACAGAAGCAGCCTCCCAAAAGATACCAGGTTTCTGAGCTTATTAGTCTGGCTTACTACCTGGTTTCTCAGCTTATTAGTCATCTTATAAACATGTATATTTTTCCTATAATTTGAGAGGCCCAGTGAGGGAAAAATCAGCCCCCAATGTTATATTAAAATTTGAAAGGAAAATTCAATAGCGTGCATTAGTTTGATCAACTCCTTCTTCCTTCTATTGAGCTAGCGATATGAATCCCATCTAGTGTAAAACATAGCTAATATGCTCTGTGAATGAAGTTATAGTGTCCATTAGTTTTATACAATCAAGTTTGTCAGACCAAACTATCAAACTTTTATCAAACGAGTTTTTTTTATTTACGCTTTATTTGTTTAGCTCTAAAACAAGTTTGTGTTCATTTCATTAACCAACCAAACAATACAAACATTAATCAAACTAAAACACACACATCATTTCATAACCCCTTATAATCAAAATCGAAGAATCTAATTGAATGTATTGAGATAAAATAAAACAGAAGTTCAAATACTTAGATTAATAATTTTAAGAACCTGGAATCAGGATATGTAAAGCTGGAGCCTCGTTCCTAGTTCGTACTTGGCCAACGCTGAAAGACGATCGACGACCGCCTCTTCGTCGACGGAAGCCAATTGACGCCTCTATTGCGAGGGATCTTCAATCGTAGTGACCTTCGTCTTTTTTCTTTCTCCCTTACGGACTTCTATCTTTCTTCCCATATACGAGGCTGGACTTTGGGTTCATTAATCCATTTAATGAACACTGGGCCAATATTTTGTACTGGATTAAATGTAATATTTAGATTGTGTTATGAAATAAAAAAGTTTTGCTTTTCAAAAAAAAAAAAAAATTGGGGTTGTCAAGTATCTTGTAGTCTCATGACATCGTTGTGACACTCCTAAAAGTGTTATATGTTCAATTTGATCTCAGTTTAAGGGTGTTGGCCTAAACATAGAACTACTACTACATGTGTTAGGAAGCTTTGCAAAAAAAAGAGTTGGTTTTTTTTGCGACAGTCGCATTTTAGTCTATCTAATCTAAAGTAAGGTTGAAGTTACTTCTCTGGTTGTATTGGCTGAAGTTACTGTAGATGACCGTTTTAGCTATTTTTACATATGATTTTTTCAATAAAATATATTTTAATATTTTATTAATATAATATATTTTAAAAATATTTTTTCTTGAATCAGCAGAATCAGCCAATGCAGCCAATTCAGTTAGAACTTCATAAATTTCAGTAGAATCGGCCGGATAAATGTTTCGATAGACAATTATACTACGGAGTACATATTATTACAAGCATTACTCAGGCACTCAGCCCAAAATGTAAGGTATTCTTTAAAAGGATTATCATTGTTAAGATTCGGGGTTCCATCCTAAAAGGTCAACCTGTTAGGAGGAGTAGCCCGAAGCTTAATATAGCACTCTAGTGCTTCTCAATTTTCCGGTGTGGGACATTTAACACCCCTCCTCACGACCAGACACTTCGTCTGGATCGTGTCGTCATTCATTTTTCATCGGTTCGTCAATTTTTTTTATCGTGTCGTCATTTTTCATAAGGGGCCCCACACCATGGATCGATTTGTCTCTGATACCATGTTAAGACTTGGGGTTCCATCCTAAAAGGTCAACCTGTTAGGAGGAGTAGCCCGAAGCTTAATAGAGCACTCTAGTGCTTCTCAATTTTCCGGTGTGGGACATTTAACAATCATCGTTGATATTACAAAAAGTATGGGTGGTTAATATCATGGACAATTTTCAAAACAAGAATAATATATCATGGACGTACATAGGAGGGATGGGTGGTTAAGCAAAATTTAAAGATATATAATTGGGAGACTAGATATAAAAAAGTTGATCCTACGTACTAGAGATTGAAAATATTAATAAGTTTTCAAAGTTTAGTTCATCAAACTCCTAGTGTAAATTTGTCAAAAAAAAAAAACAAACTACTAGTGTAAATTTGCATACATGACCATCACAAGTTTGATCTTAAAGAGAAAGTATTATCGTTTTAAAATTGGCCTAAATAAGAGTAAAAGTGTGTGAATTCTATAATAAAATTATTGATATTATCAAACTTTAAACATCAAAATATATTTCAAACTAATTCAAATTAGAGGATAAAACATGACAAATGAATTAGACAAACTAATTCGAATTAGGGACACCCCATTCACTACCATAGAAATAATTTAAGTGCGTCTTTTGGTACAAACTCCAAATGTTACATTTACACAAATTAGATTTTGATGTAACACACTCCCACTCACATACAAAGAATATATACAAGTGAAACTTATTACAGTCACCCATTCTTATGAAAAATCTAAAGAATTCAAGTGAACATATTTGACTCGGTCCTATATTACTAAATGTGATTATAAATAAATCCATATGGGAGTGAACTTAATTTCACCCCAATTAGTTTTATTTACACATTTAATAATGTCATATATGTGAGAGATCACATGGACTCAAGACTAAATCTAATAAATTTCAATCAAGTTGGGAAACTGCTACAGTTGACTCCCTTCATAAGTTTGACCAAATTGCCAATTCGCCGGAGCTGCGCCGTTACTGACGGTCGTCCTCCCGTCGCTGGTGGTGACCCGGAAGGAGAGGCTCTGCCCATTGAGATTGGAATGGCTCTGCCAATTCTGGCCCCAATTTCTGGACATTGGCTGCCACCCGGTGCGTGAACCCTTGATTTCTACCTTCTGAACGTCGCCGGCGCCGGCGACATTTGTGACCAGCACCAAGTTGAAGAAGGCGTGCCCGTTGATGGTGAACCTTATTCCTCCTGGTCTCCTGCATGCCACTCTGTAAAAAAACCAACATGAGTAAATCTTATTTTCGATTTATCAATCATTTCTTTTACTAAATACTCTATTATGAGTGTCACGTAATGAATTGTGTAATAATCTAAATAAATAAACTTTGAATTACTTTCCAATTATATGTACTGCAGTTCAGGTAGATGATTATTTAACTATTTTTCATAAATTTTCTTTATTTTATAATACAATACTCCCTCCGGTTCTTTTTAAACTTCAGTGTTTGACTTCACAGTTATTAAGAAAATAAAGTTGACTTTACTGTAGAATACACTGTTGAGACACTGTTTGGCACTGTTTGGCACTGTTGAGACACTGTTTGGCACTGTTTAGCACTGTTTAACACTGTTTTGATGTAGATTTCTTTGCCAAATAAGGAAATAATGAAGTGTGAAGTTTATTTTGGACCGTCCCAAAAAGGAAAGTGTGAAGTTTATTTAGAACCGGAGGGAGTATATTTTAAATATAATTTTCACATAACTCACCCAATTGGGTAGTTTCAATTAAATTTCACTAATTTCAAGAGATCAACCTAGTTCTGTCGATAAAATTTCATGTATATAATAAAGTTTGTTATTAGGTTATAAAATTTGACTTTTGTTAAAACATGAGATTCCATCCTAAAACATTAATTTCACATTTTTGATGTGGAACTTTAACATCTCTGCTCATGATTATACAGTTTGTCTGAATTTTGTCGTTCTCCATTTTTTCCATTGGTATGCCATTGACATTCTTTGTAATCATAGTTATAAGAAATATGATCGATTTAACATTGATACCATTAAGATATGTGATTTCATTCCATATTAAAAAAATGTGATTTCATTCCAAAATATTAACTTCAAATCTTGATAGAGCACTTTATTACTCTAGAATAGTGCACTATTTCAACAATTTTCAACAAGGTCAGTAAGAAGTAAGAAGTGGAGAATATGTACCTTCTGAAAGATATAGGGACAATTCCGGCTCTGTATTGAGCTATATGAAGAAAGGCTGGCTCGGCTAAATCGAAGTGTTGCAGGGGAGGGTTGCACCACCCACCATTGCTATTAGACAGGCCCGGGTTCGGCGGGCAGAAGTTCGTCGCCGTCACGGTGATGGTCCCGGACAGGCACGACTTTCCGGCGACTGCGGCGTTGCACTTGAGCTCGTAGCAAGAGCCGCATCTCAGGCCATTGTTGAACAGAGCAGAGCTGAGCGCGGCGGTGTTGGTGCCGTACCCGGAGCTATACAGGTTTCCGTAGCCACAGGCTCCTCCCATTGTGCCGGAGGCGTCGCTACCGCCGTAGAATGTGGCGTGAGCGCTCTGCCAGCCGCCGCCGTAGTTACCGGAAGCTCCATGGAATAAGCAAAAGTTGAGAGAGAGCAGCAGGATGGGAAATAATGGTCGAATTGCCATTTGACTTTATGAGCAGGATAAATATGATGTTTGGGTGTTTGAGCATAAGCTATATATAGACGGGAGTCAATAGATACCCCGGCAGTATGTTCCACTTGAAGAAAGGAAAGAAACAGGTACGGAGTAAAATTTTCACAAATTATTAGCGATTTTATAATCAAACTCAGAAACAGGAAGATTACACAAATTCTGATGTAATCAATCCTTTTTGTCTACCGGTGTTGATAAATTTTGATTAGAAAGTTATCGGGCGTGTTTGTCATTCAGCAGATAGCGGTTTATATTAACGGATTGTCAATAGTGGATTCAGTTAGCGAGTTTGACTCGCGGAATAAATTGGTGGGTTGTTAGAAGATGTACGGTAATTTAACTGTTTGACTGTTTGGCCATAAAATTAGTAGAAAACGTCATTTTTCAAAATGTCAACCCGAAACCCTGCTATTAGCAGTGTTTTCATTTCAGCGTTTTCGTCCAAAACGCTAGTGTCGAACCGCTATTTACCAAACAACTTTTTGACTCGTTAAAAAACTGAAAGTGGTCAAACCGTCATTTTTCCGCTGAAACGCCGTTCACCAAACACCCTCATCGTCTTACCAACATCAGCATGTAAAAAAGCATATAATTGCTTGATTTCAATGGGTCAAGTGACGTATTTACAAAGTCTTTCTGTTGAAGGGACTGATAATAGAATCACTAGTTCGAGGACTCGTTTGCCCCCTTTTTCTATAATTTTTTTATGCATACTTCGTTAGTCCAATAAAAATCTTTTAACTTCAATTTGCACGTAAAATAATAAATTAAAAATTGTGTGATTAAAACTTGAGACGAGAAAAGAAAAACTATCTTAATCACATATTTATTACTTTAAATAAAAATGACAATATTTTTTTGAACATTTGGTCAAATTTTATAGGAAGAAGGAAGTATATTTTTAGATAAAAAAAAGTTGCATAAAAAGTAAAGTTTTTTGCATGTATGAGTTAGGACCTAGTATGACCCTTTAATTATACTTGTGACTATGAGTGTCTATCATGCCGGTAGGAATTCCATTAACTATTGTCAAAAGAAGTATGGAAATTTTCACATCAATAATCTTAACTATTGGTGGTCTTCCCATATTAATCCCAAATATTGGTTATTCCAAAATAATATGAAATATTAGGTGCATCTTCTTAAAATAAACCGGTGACCCGCATAAACCAGTTGATCAAGTCACCCTGACACGTGTCATAATTTTATTGGTTTTTATTTTTTTTACCATGTTTTCCTTGTTTCATTTTCTTTCATCTTTCTTCTTGGTAGCTTCCATTTCCTTCATCGAATTCGGAGGCTTTGAGGCGACTAAGGATGTCGTCAATGTCCAGGTCTAGTAATTCTTCATTGTCGGCCAGGCGGCAGCCCAATTGTTCTTCAACGCCGGTCATCCCACCAGCGATTCATCAAGTGGTCTTGATCGCCGACCACCCATTTAGGAATTTTTTCGGTTAGTTATTTAGACATAGTG